TCTTTCTGCATGGGGGTCTATTTTATTTATAGGCTATGCATTTTGTTACCGTTGACAGATTTTTTTTTGACAGACTGAATTGTCATTCCTTTAAATCATTCATCAAGTTACCATTATGACATGGCAAAAAATATTTTATTCACTACAACATTCTTGTTTTCAAAGGGGATGTCCACCTGGATATTAGTTTAGTTTTAGTAGAAGTATAAAATTAGAAACACTGCTAGGCCAGTGAAAGTTTGAGCAAAAACCGATTTAAAAATATGAAAGTTATACATTTTGAAGGCGTACTCAATCACTGACACAAATTGGCAACTCTGAGAGGCGTCTTGCGAGCTTCCCACTCCCATTTGCCCTATCCTGTTCTAAGAACATATTCAAAATCTACATTCTGAATCATACATTCACCTTTCATATAATTATTGAAATATATTTTCATATAACCCCTGTATGAAACAATTCTATTCCATCATCATTAACTGTATATAAATGAAATTTTCTGATTTTGTCTGTACATAGCAAATTAGAGAGGAGCTCGCATAATAGACCAGTTCACGGTTAGCACATGTACTGCAATGACCCCGAATATCCACAGATCTTCAAAACGTGAAGAGGTCCCACTTTGTATATTTTGAAATAATCACTCCTACAGCGATGGAGGTGCTTCATAACTAGCCTTTGTTTCCTCTTTTCAAAGAATACTTCCACCTGTGTATCATTGAGTGCATGAATGAATAATAATTACATAACTTTCATGAGCATGTATCCAGTATTTCGTCTCCATGTATTTCACAATTCGTTCTGCAATGACCTTTATCTGTTCATGCTCAGACTGCAACCGTGAACTGGCTTATACATCACAGTGTTGCCAAATTGTGTTTTACTGATGACAACTTCAACAACTCTTAACTTTCCTATGTCTAATCGGATTTTTCTCAAACTTTTACAAATTTGTTTCTCTCATTGTTCTGCTTTTTTAAAAGTAGCTTTAGCTTTTTAAACTTAATTATTATTATGGTGGACTTTACCTCGAAGCATCATGAAGAGCTCTTATTTTCCTCTATTATGATTTTTAACGTAATTTCCTGACCTCCTTTTAGAAATTAAAGCAGCAATTTCTAAAGAAGCTGAAAGCACGTGTTTTTTCTTTTGTCAAGAGTCCTTTGTTTTAGATTATCAAGATTTTATGACAGGAGATATGGTCAAAATTAAATCAAAGAGACGGATAACAACAACTGCCAAAAGGCAGAAAGATAAGGAATGTCCTCATCAGCTCGAGTTTGCCAAATAACCCGTTATTTTAACTATCCCTATAATTAGCGAGATATTTGTTCGAGAAAATATCCCGAGAAATCTTGGTCATAATATCCCGTTATTTGGGAAATAGCAGGCTGAATGAGCTTTAGTTTGTGATGAGCGTATCGGTCTGGTGAAAAGGCAATTTCGAGCTTCGGGATATCATCCGGGCCCGAGTCTGAAAATAGCGGGTTATTCAAAGCGGACAACCATCAATATCAGAGACTGAAGTTTTCGGTCTATGGTGTGCCGTATACTTTTAAATAACTCTGAGAGTATTTGGCAAACTCGAGCTGATGAAAACAGGCCTCACAGATAATATGGAGGCCAGCTTCCTTAGAACGGAGGAGCCACGAGGATAAAGCGTCTTGACCTTTGTGAGGCGACCTACAAAAGTCTGCTAAAATCGAACGAGTGAGATCAAACTCTTACGTAACACAGCACTTTTTTGGCAAGAGATCGAAGAGATCAAACAAATGTTGACAAATATATATAAGCCTATGCGTGGCTATACTTAAAGATAAAGTTGAGTTCTGGTCATGCGATTGCATTGTGAAAGAAAGGGTGTGGAATTGATCATATAAGTATTGGTGTGTACTCCAAAGTTCTAGAATCATCAGTAATGATAGGGAATTTGGCCCAGCCTTGGTAAAGTTACAAGCACTGTACACATAAACATGTATATGGGACTAAACGAACATGTGGCATAAAAATCCGTCCCGATTTTAAGCTGTTATATACATGCCATATTTAGAATTGTAAGGCATTTGTAGAGCCTTGCTTTTCAGAGAACATTTTTTATATGATGTTCCCACACTTGCATAATAACAATGATACCGCTCACAAAATTATTTGTCACCTCTTCCCAGAACTTATAGCCTTCTCTTTAAACCGAGCTTTGAATGTGAATACACAGAAAACAACAAATTCTTGAAACACTGAATACTTCTGATGGCTATACCATTCTAGGCTGTCATTTCAACCATGAAGATTTGTGAGTAGTTTGTGTGTTTGTTTGACGTTGTATATCCGTAAAGTCTAAAGTACATATCTAAAATGATAATGATAATGTAATAATATTGGTGATGATGACGATGATGGCAAAGGCATCAATAATTATTATGATTATAAAGATGATGATGTTACACCTGCTACTACTACTGCTGCTACTACTACTACTTCTGCTACTACTTCTGCTATATTTACGCGCTTACAGTAAACTGATCATTCAAGAGGATTCACATACAGCATATTAGACATAGGTCATAAAATACTATGATTTGATCAATATGAAGAACAAAATAAAAACACAATATTTATACCAAAAAACAAGTCTGCACGTTGACAGTACCGTACGTCTTATGAGGAAGGAAATAGATAAGGACCTAGAGACCAAACAGAATAGGCCTACCTATTACATCATTCACCGAGGGCAAATAATACTGTAACGTGCATATCATGCTACTTATCGCTTCTAATTAAGTCTATATTGATTGTGTTCACCGAATTGATTCGCTACTTATCCTTTAGATCGCAAATACCGTGATTACTTTTGTATGACCTAATTTGATTTCACCGGAATTCGTTTATCACTTTGTTGACCATTAACTGATTAATCAGTCAGTGGAAATTTGGTGTTATCTATTGGTTCAGTCTCATTTATCACACTTTATCAACGAACGTATATACTGGACAATATACATTGAAGATTACAGGTAATTTCATTGGAAAGACCCAAAATCATTAAACATGATGAAGTAGAGCCTTATCATATGAGAAATATTATAACAAATTCGAATTCAATTCAGTGACTTATTTATCTTTAATTTTCTAACGAAAGAACAAGGGAATGCAATTACTATACCTTATAAGTATAATGTCTGTGTTTACCATGTCCATATCTCTTTTAAATGTTATTTATTATTTTATTGTCCATATTAACGTGCCAACATGAACGATCCAGCTATGTCTCTTTATCTTGTAACATAATGTGATGTACAAATGAACTATGCTTTTGATTGGATCATTAAACCACCTTTATAGAACTTGAAGTAATTGTCTTTACCTCTAACTTGCATCTTTGCAAGAAATGTCATACCCCCTCTCTCTCCCTCTCTTCCTCTTTCTCTTTCTCTTTATTTCTGCCTTTTGCCCCTGTTTGTCTCTCTTCCTTTTTCTCATTCGCTCATGACTGTCTCCCTATTTCTCCTTTTGCTCGTTATTGTTATTTCATCAGTTTGCTATCTAAGTATCAATGGTTTTATGAAGTGAATCAGATTAATGTTCTTGATATTAGTTCAGTTCAGTTCAGTTTATTTTCATATTTCACACATGTTGTATAATACATCATTACATTTAGCATGTTACATTTTGAACTCATTTTAGGATGCGTTTATACAAAAAAAATGACACATAAGACTAAGTTGAATAAGGGAAGAAATATGATAGAGCCTAAAGAGAAAGCAATGCTTGTAGGTCACAGGCTCCAGAAGTTACAACAATGACATAGTCTTGTGTATATTAAAAAACGTAATTTAATTAAATTGAAACTTATTATGAAGAAAAAATGAACAATATTCATATACTTAGCAATATTTGTATAACATTTTCACTACCCGTACGCAATGGCAATTCTCATAGGAGCATACCAAGATGTCTGCATTAATAATTGACAGGGAGTGTCGCCGTCTGCTTAGAGCTGGAGTGGTGTTAAGTCATTCTTGTTTAACATTGACTCAAAACCCTTCTGGCCTTTTATCATACGTTATCATGTTTTGCCTATTTCGAAATTGTATGTAACACCAATGGGAAACAACTTTCGGATTTTGTTATGAACAATAACACTTGAATCTTCAATGATGAATCTTGAACTTACAATGAAGTAGGCGATGCGCTGAGTGCGATTATTTTCCTAGAAATATTTGCCAGATCTTATTTCTAAACACCCTGTACCACCGAAACCTTTCGAAGAATTACAAAGGTCAATAGCATTGCCAACTCAAGTTGTAAACGAAAACTTGAAGAATCTCAGACACAGTCAAAGAAAAGGATCGGATACGAAGAATTTCCGATCTTATCCGATGTCGGGCGAAGTAGTCTTACATCTCGCAGACTCACTGTGAGTTTAATGTGTCAGTTGAAAACATAAATACGCAACTTTCCAGCAATAATTGACAAACGGAGGAAAAAAGGTTGCGTTGCGCTAAGTGTAGAAAATATTGGTAGGGGTTTTCGCATTCTTGTTTTTATGTGTGTAAATAACAACGAACAGTAGGAAGGTGGCATGAAACGTATTGATCTTAAATCCGACATATAACAAGAAATGGCTGGAAACTTGTTATAAAGTACAATGTCATATATCTATAACTGTTTTAACGTAGTCTCAACCATAAAAATAGACAGTGATATTAGCTGTTTATGATTTTCAGCCAGAATGAGTCATTATTTTGATGATTCCAAACCTGACAGTGTTATTCCTTCTTATTACATTTCCCCACATAACTTCCAGATAGTTTCTTCCACAATCATATTATGATGAGTAGTACCCTTATGACGGGTCTGAATCCCATAGACTCGTTAAATTTGTGACGTCACCAAAAGTGGGCTTCTTACTTTACTCATTGAGCGCGCATGTCATATAACTTGGAAGCCTTTATCTTGTTTAGTAAACAACATTTTGACTCTTTTCTCGTCGCCGCGTGGGTAGTATTTGGTTTGCGAGGCAAATACTATATAAGTGGCTGGAATTCTGACCTTTTCAGCACTTCTCTCTTTGCAAGCAACCTCCTTAGGAATAAGGGCTTCGGTTATAACACATCACCATTTATTTTGGATCAAATATTTTCAGACGTAATTTATGAGGTAAGCCCTTTTAGTTTTTTTTCTTTTCATTGAACTATGTTAGTACTATAACTCTGTTATTGGCAAAAATCACTTTATCTTTATGCTTCTAATCATTTTATTTTAAACCCTTCCTCCTTTTTAGTCTTTGCCTTGTCTTATGGTCTTGCCAAAACACTATTTTATATAAGAAAATATAACTATTCGCTTTGCTTAATTGCTTTTTGCTTTTATTACTATTACTATAGTCTATTGTCTAATCTTCATTTAATATTTTTTCAAGCTAAATCTTAAATTTTCATTAAATCAATGAGCCATTTTTGGATACTTTATTGTCTTAATACTTCATCGTAACTTCTCTTTCATCGTAGTTTGTCAGGTTTCTTTTGTTAGAATATACATATTCTGGTGTGTTTGGATCATCAAAATGTTCTTGTATAGATACGACTCTTCCGAATTTCGCTTATCAGTAATAAACTACTTCTTCGTTTTATCCCATGAATGAGTTAGTTCGAGAGAGGGTATTTTTCTTTAATCTTTTTTAAATTTAAATAGCAATTAATGATAGAAGTTAGTAAATATAGTCCTTCCTTTTAATTTTAAAATGAGGGGACCAAAATGAACTTAACGTATTATATACCTTCCTGAATACTAACGTTAACTGGTCAATAATATAGAAGATCAGGACTATGACTAGAACAAAATAATTACGATTTAACTTCAGATGGCTCGATCTTTTGCGTACAGAATCGTCAATTTTGAAAAAGAAACTGAAAATGTTCCAGGAAGCCTTAATCTTTCAATAAGATGAATATGAAAGTTTTACCATTTACAAAAAAAAACGTGAATTATTTAGTATGCCTTGCGGTATGGCAGAAATACAATATGGGGGATTTAAAAAAGTAAAAAGATGAAGAGAAATAACCCTTAGTGCTTTCTCTTTGTAAAATTCTGCGAAGTCACACAACTCAACATATTCGTTAAACATTAGTTATAACCAGGCGATATCGTAAGTGGGCTTCGATAAAAATATGGATGACAAATTTATCCCTGCAGAATGCAGGTGTATGTCCTTTCGATGGTACATGAAAATTGACGCGTCCTTTTAATTTGACATCCTTTCATTTGCAGACGACAGCGCCATCCTACAATATTGGTTGATGGACTAAAAATACTAAAGATAGGCCTATGATTAAAACTACGAAGAATAAATATCGATAAATAAAGTCAGACTGCTCTCCGTCTTGCGCTTAGAGTTAAAGGGCAGGGTATTAAAAGGGTATTAAAACCGTATCATTATATAGTATAATTTTGTTCATTGTGTTGTTTTTCTCTCAAGAGTACAAGACAAACAAGTTTCATATAAAAGATCAAAGACATAATATCGATTTCTTTCCCGCTGATTTCGATTAATTCTTTGAAAATGTCTATTCCTCTCTACACCCCCCCCCTCCCCATTGCTGTACGCCTACTGACAATTTTATTTATTTCTGAGTTTAAAGAAACCGTAGTCACGATGTGTAAATCATATTTTTTTATATGATATTTTTTCTCTTCTAGAAATATCTTATTATGACGTCATTAGAAGTATTCATCCTTCTGTTCCTATCCTGCATGATAGAGAGGTAAGATTTTTATTAATTTTTTTTAAAATTTGTGTTGGTATTAATTTATTTAATCACGGTTAACAAGCCTGCTATCAGCTAAAAGCTGCTTTTCAGCAAAGCCATGAACAACAATTGAACTTATCAAGTTTTGGCCTTATGATTGTATTGTTAAGAAGAACAAATGCCCCGACGTAGTAGTATTTATGAACAGTTATGGAGTCATGCCCTGCTAGTTTGGTCATGAAGAGTAGTGTCAGAGTTATTAGGGTACTTCTTAATTATTTGGTTTCTATCCACTTCCCCCTTTCTTTCTTTTAATCTTAAAAATGAAACATTCATTTTCTCACGACAATGTTGAAATTGTTTTATTGTATAGAGAAAATGTAATATATTTATTTGATAACTACTGAGGAAAAAGGGCATTTTTAGTAATATCAGTATACAACTCAAAGGGACTTGGTAATGATAATTAATGCCTATACCAAAGGGCACCTGGGACCTCCCGGTTACGAGACCACTGCTCTACTACTAAGCCTTCGCGCCTCCTCTTTTTTTATAACTAGCCTGCCTGTGACATATGGATATCAAGCATTGATACTAAAGTGACAATAAGAGGTTATACCCAATGAGCGATATCAACTTTCAAATCCGATAACTTTGTCCTCATAATTCTTTGTTCGGTTTATCCCAAACTTTCAGAGTTTCTTTGATTTTTCGATTTCCATCCAGGTCAATCCATCAGGAAAGGTCAATTCCTTCTTTCGATTAACGTAATCCATTGCTTGTAAATAGTTGCAATACCCCCGTACCAGAAATACCACTTTCATATTTCCCTTCAATGGGGGAAATGATCATATCACCCCTGACACATCCGAACGCCGACCGTCACCTGACCGCTCAAAAGTTGGTCAAGTGGGGAAGAGATGGGTTTGGGGGTTGAGCACCCCCCCCCTCGATACAATATACCATTATAGTTAATACACAACCCAATATTATCCCTTAATATTGTGTAGGCCAAATTATCGAGTTAGTGCCCCCCTCCCCACCCGACAGAAGTATTGACTAGATAGTTCACAACCAAAATATCGTTCCTTAATTGTGTAGGCCAAATTGTCGGGTTAGTGCCCCCCCCCCCTCCATTATGAACCTGCCCCTGATTCGGGGCGGGTTTTGTCGGCCTTTTTTGCGTGACTATAGGCTATAACCTCCCTCTAGGCAGAGGTGTTTAAACCTTATGGGTGGATTGAAATTGAACACCTTGCCAATTTGTACTCGCCACATTCTAATTCAGTCCAATACAAACTTATCATATAGACCGAAATTCATCCTCGTATAGGGTTACTTATTTCTCCCCGTCTCCTACAAACATAGCTGTTTGGATTACCTGTTCCTGCTGGTCTAACAGTATGAAGCCAAGAAACTTGGCACATTCTACTATCACTCTCCCAGTGTCCGATGTCAAAATTTCCTCTCCCAGACGGTTTTGAATTTAAAAAAAAAACTCTGACCAATGATATACCCTTAATCTTGTTATCATTTTCTTAAAGTAAAACAGCACCTTTTCCGAAATAGTTTCACGTCTAAAAGCTTCCGTTCGATTAACTCGTGTGTCTGTTCTAAATAGTAATAATGAAAGGCTAGACGAACTATATACTTCTTCCACTTCTCTAACAGTTGGTATTATTGCCGTATATTTTCACAAAAGCCCACCCATCCTGGACATCGGAATACATGAATCTAGCAGAATCTGACGTTTGATATAAGTTGATTCTAACTTTATCTTTATGAGGATATTTCCATCCGATTGCTTACCAAAAAACATTTTAGCTCAGCCTGTTCAACTAAGAGAAAAAAAATCAGAAAATAAAAAATTACGCTTTCACATCATTTTTTTTCTTCACGCCTACAGGTCGATCTCTCTGTCGTGTCCCTGTTGGTCTCACGATGCCAACCCGTCAAACCCGCTGTCCTACCGGGAGACGTATTGCAATGACCTCGACCTTACGTGCCCTTCCGGGTCAGAGGTCATCAGCGACCACTGCGGATGCTGCAAAGTTTGCTCTCATGTGAGTACCATCATGATTGGAAACCAAAACTAATTAGTTAGAGACCCGGAGAGTCGCTGTACAACGTTTTAAAGAGGCGGGGGCTAGAGGTCAGACGACGTTTATCCGTAGGTTTCCAGACGGAAAACAGAAGTAGATTTGGAAAAATAGCGAGCTCTGCATGTCTACATTTTTCCAACAAGGGTCACCAGTAGCCTGCTTTAAAAAAATGTCGCTCAGTAATATGTGAAAATAATCGACGGTTTATCGATGACATTTTTAAGTTTCTTCATGAGTTGGGGCTTGGTAGGTTCTGATAAGCTTTTCTAAGTTGGATTATAAGATTTACCAACTTGAAATTGCTCTTGGCGTTATACATATATCTTTAGTGTTAAACATTTCTAATAGAGGCCGTGTATAGTCGGACATTGCATTGCATGAAAATGTGATTAAACTTATCCAAAGACCGCATGAAAGATAATTTTCCTTGTTACCACAAAGACAAACTAAACCAATCAAGAAAAATTTCACATCCCAGTCACGCCTCTAAATCGACTGATAAATTCTTGGTATTTTGGAGTAGTGCCTACTTGTTTGTTCTATTGTCGGCCTATTACAATCCATTGGCAGTACGCGAAATCGCCTTAATAGTTGTCACGTCTTTCATTATGTCCGTAGGTTGAGGATGAAGAATGCGGAGGCCCTTGGAACGTACTTGGACGTTGCGCCAAAGATTTTGAATGCATCGACCCCAAGACGAAAGGTCCCCTCAAGGGTTCCTTCCTCGGCAACATCCCTATGGGTACCTGCAGGAGAATCAAACGACCTGACGCCGAACACACGCCCTCTACGCCGGTCCCACGCCGCTCCAAGCCTGTCTATCCTCCAGGATTCTCCTTAATGGATTTCTTTGGACCGTTCGGTCCTCAACGGCCAGTCAACCAAGAAAAGCCAGTGCGCAAGAACAAGGAGATCAAGAAGAACAAGAAGGATAAGAAGGACAAGAAGGACAAGAAGCTGAATAAAGATTTAAGGAAGAAGAGCAAGAAGGAGAAGAAGGAAAGGAGAGAAAGGAAGATGAAGGAGGAAAGAAGGGAGGATAGGCGAAAAATCAGCGATGAAGTTAGCAATGAAATCCCAAAGTACTTCTAAAGACGTGTGTTTGTTGGACAGATAATTCGTCAAGCAGGGTATATAGTACCAGCCTTCAGAGTATTCCAATATTAACCTGAATCTATTATTGCGTTTAACGCAAGTAAGTAATGACTATTGCACACAAGGCGTCGGTCCGAAACGCCATTTGATTTTTTTTTCACCTGAAAAGAATTCTTGAGCTACTTTAGCAGCGAAAAGAAGAAACTTGATGACTACTTCACGGCGGGGCACACTGATGTTATACATTGTTATGTGTATTTATGCTGGTGTTACGTCGATTTGCAGACAACTATATTTCGAATCTTGCGCTAGGCTGCCGCACACTGCTTCGAAGGTCTTGCGTCTTTGCGTTTGAATGGGGCAATGGAAGACGCCTGGCGTACAGCTGGCATAACAGCTTTGTGCTTTTTGATATTATTATTGAACCTCGACAGTACCATGAGAAGATTTGCTTTTGAATTCCAGACGGTTTGACTCGGTATCCCATACCTCTGTTACTGCAGAATTGTCAGTCGATCTACAGTCTACGAGACCGACCTCGACCCTTGAGTGTGATAGTGTCGGTCTCAGAATGACCGACGAACGAGACTGAAACGCAACGAAATTGAGATGTACCCATATGTCGTGCTCTCCTGAGGTTTCAAGAGATCAATATAAAAGAGACCAACATTGTTGGTTTTGTTGGCTGTCGGAATAGGGACTGGGATATCCCTTCGAGGGACATTGGTTAAAAAAGGCAAGCTGGTCGCTGGAATAGGAACATAAGAATTAAAGATAAAGTTGAGTTCTGGTCATGCGATTGCATTGTGAAAGAAACGGTGTGGAATCGATCAGAAAAGGTCGATCAGCGGCATCACATGTAAGTATTGGTGTGTTCTGCAAGGTTCTGGAATCATCAAAATGATACCAAAAATTGGCCCAGTCGTGGTAAAGTTACAAGCACTGTAGACAGAAAGATGTATATGGGGCTACATGAAAATGTGGATTAAAAATCAGTCCTGATTTGTATGATGGTACATGCCATATTTCGAATATTAAGGCATTTGAAGAGCCATGCTTTTCAGGAAACATTTTTTTACCTCTTCCCAGAACTCAACCTTCTCTTTAAGGTGCTGCCGTTCAAATGTATATATATATATATACCTATACTCTACATGGTTCCGTTTAAGGTATTTACAGTCTAGCTCAAACCATGATATCTATTGTGTGTGAGGCTCCAGTATTGCTTACAAAATATACATAATTGTAACATCATAATGCTTGTCAATATATATTTACCTTGCTTACCTCGTATTTAATTGAATTTTGATTGCTTCGTCCAATTTTGTGATAATCACTAATAAGTCTGGACATAAGAATCCGCTGGGATCAAAATTTTTCATTATTTGGGGGGAGGGGGGGGGGGGGGGGGGGGGAGGGGAGGGAAGGGGGTAAGCGAAGGATGGAGACAAACGTTTTTTTTTTTAATGAATGTGTCACGAGCGATTTGAAATAAATATTTTCAGGTGCATTATGGTTCCCAAATTTGCCAGAAAACACAGCTTTCGGTACACATGTTCTTCTTCTTCATCTTCGTATGGTATGCACAATTTGGCTATTGCACCCCTGGCCCCTTATTCCTTTAGCCCCCCTTCTACTTCATGATGTAGAAAGAGGCTTTTTGTCAAGACAGATCCGAGGACCTTCTTAGTTATTCTTGAGTCCTTGACAGCTTGAACAGTACTTCCTTTCATATTTTAGATTAAACTATGATGGCAGATTAAGAATGGATAGAGAGAGAGAGAGAGTCATCGAAATTTTGATTGATTATACTTGACGAATCATATTAAAAGGGAAGTCCAGGATATCCCTAGCCTTCTGACTGGCCAAGATTAGTTTATCCAGATCACAATGATATTCTGTTTGGTGATCCTGGCAAAGGAATGAAAACACACTCTGTCATCTTTCCTTGATAACAATTGTATGAATAACGCTGTTAAACAACAACATCATCATTACTTACTTGATCTCCCTCTCTTTTTGTTCGTTCTCTCTCTCCCTTCCTACTCCCATCCATCTTCTATCTATCTTTCTATCTATCTAGCTATCTAGGTAATATATTCATCTCCCCTTCCCCTCCCTCTCTCTCTTCCTGTATCTCTCTCTCCCCCCCTCTCTCTCTCTCTTCCCCCCTCTCTCTCTCTCTCTCGTGTAAGAATTAGGGATATTGGTAGTCTATTTGTAGGGTCATAAATACATTTCCACTGATTGAGGGAAACTCCCTATTGTAGCCAGACTAAGTAAAATGATCATTGCGTGTCAATTATTTGAATTATTACCATATAAATGCTCAAAATTATTGTATGTTTATAACTTGATATTATACTTGTGTTCATGTACTGTATATATTTGTATATTATATCGTTTGTGAACTATTATTTAGTCAATAAAATTTATCGAAGTATATCATTTCAGCCTACATCGACTTATAGCTGTTCTTAAAGTCCCACTGCACTGATTGTAGTTACTTGCTCCCTATATATAGAAAACAAATGCTTAACGGTGCCTGTTGGTCCTACATGATCCTGTTTTTCTTATGTTAATTGAGAGCTGAGTTGATGAGATGGCCACCTGTCAGTGACCTCGCTGGGTGGTCTAATCCCCCTGTCCACACTAGCACAGATAGCCTATAAGTGAGATTGCGATTAAATAGTGAGATTGCGTACAATCCTGAATCAATACTACGAAGAACGGAATACATGACTGCCCTTGGGTCTACATTAAGCAGTAATTGATGATCGAATTCTTCAATTATAATTTATATACAAAATGTATTTTATTATTATTATTATCATTATTTGAATATGGGGTGGATTTTCAGATCACTATTGGAAAACCATTCTTTGATTAACTGAAAACTGGCAGATTGCTAGATTATTTGCAAACAAATAAAAATAGATTACGCAATATGACTGTGAGGGTTGTGCGTGCGTGCGAGCATAGTGAGGGGGTTCTGCGAATGTGGGTATGAGGGTATGTTTGTGGGTGCAGGCGCGGATCCAGGATTTCTTAGGGGGGAGCCCAAATTTGAAATCCATTTGAAATTTTGTGTGCTGAAATTTGAAAATCGTGCCGGGCAATATATTATCTCTCTCTCTTTTGTCTCTCTCTCTCCCTCTCTCTCTCTCTCTCTCTCTCTCTCTCTCTCGTGTAAGAATTAGTGATAGTAGTCTATTGCCAGGGTCATCAATGCATTTTCACTGATTTAGCGAAAACTCCTTCATAGCTGTGTAGCCAGAATAAGTAAAATAATCATTGAGTCCCCCCCCCCCCCCCCCACTCAGTGTTATTTAGGGTACGCATATGCGTGTTCCCTCCTTTTGAAAACACCCCCCTAAGTCCGATGTGTTAAGTCAATACGGGCCGGATTTTTGTGTACTACGAGCCGGACTTTAGTGCGTGAAAAGTACCCCTTTACCGAATATTTTGGGAACACGCATGCGGTCATTCCAACCCCTGAGTGGGGGCGGGCATTGAGTGTCAATTATTTGAATTATTGCCATATAAATGCTCAAAATTGTTGTATGTTTATAACTTGGCATTTAACTTGTGTTCATGTACTGTATATATTTGTATATTATATCGTTTGTGAACTATTATTTAGTCAATAAAATTTATCGGAGTATATCATTTCAGCCTAGATCTACATCAATTTAGCTGTTCTTAAATCCTACAGTAAGTATTTAGTTGGATTGCGATTTAGTGAGATTGCGTACAATCCCCAATCAATACAGGAAGAACGGTATACGTGACTGTTGGTAATCGAATTCATCAATATGTATAAATGTATTTTGTTATTGTTATTATCATTATTTGAATGTGGGGTGGATTTTCAGATTATATTTGAAAATCATTCTTTGATTAACCCAAAATTTGCAGATTATTTGGAAAACAATATCAAATTACGCAATATGACTGTCTTGTGAGAGTTGTGCGTGCGAGCATAGTGAGTGGTTCTGCGTGTTCGGGTATGTGGGGTCGAGTGTGGGTGTATGCTTTGCGAGTAGAATTAAAGAGCTAATGTGGGGTGGGTTTCAGATTATCTTTGGAGAATCATTCTTTAATTAACCGAAAACTGGCAGATTGGTAGATTAATTGCTCCACATAATAAATAAAACAGATGGCGCAATAGGACTGTCTTGTGAGAGCTGTGTTTGCAAGAATACACCAGTTTACAGTTGTATCAGTGCGCATGCGCAGACAGAGGTCAGAGGTTATTGGCCCAAAAATTGGGGCCAATAACCTCTGACCTCTGGTATTTATGCGTAAATTAAGATTGCGCCCATGCAAATGATGATATGCGCGCACAACGCAGCGCGCAGGCAGTGATATCATCATAATTTGCATGGGCGCAATCTTAATTTACGCATAAATACATGACCTCTAGGTCATTGGCCTTGTTTAAAATGGCGCACACAACTGTAAACTGGTGTATTGTGAGGAGCTCGGCGTGAGTGGGTATGTGGGTTCCATGTGGGTGTGCATTATGGGAAGAGGAATGTTGAACTGAAGCGGTTGTGATATCATTGCAAAGGCCGGAATATATAAGCATATGCCGTGAGTCAAAATAATGGTAAAATGTATTGTGTTAGTAGTACTTAATAACAAAAGTCACATTGACAGACTGATGTGTCATCCAATGCAGTTCGGTATTTATATAGGTCATACCTACATGACCTACTGATCTAGTATAGATCATTATGAGCAATGGCTACATCGGCTACTGTACATGACAAACAATGTGATAAAAACACCTTGGCCATGAAGTTTTGTTCCCATGAAGTGACCGGGGGGGGGGGGCTATAAGAAATAGGATTAGCCCTTCTCCCAGCCTCCCCTTTTAAAAGCCCAGGACCAAAAAAATGCAGTGATTCTACATTAGTCATGTATAATCATTCTTCTCCCCACCTCTGGGAAATGTCCCCCCCCCCTCCTCTCTCTCCCTCTCCAGCTCTCTCCCCAGCTCTCTCTTCCCCCCCCCCTCTTTCCCACACACACTCTCTCTCCCCCCGTCCGTCTCTCTCTCTCTCTCTCTCTCTCTCTCTTTCTCTATATATCTCTCTTTCCTCTCATCTCTCCCCCTTGCCTCTCTCCACCCCTCTTTCTCTATTTTACCTTCTCTCGGGTTCTCTCTCTATCTTATCTCTCCCACTCACTCACACACACATACACACACACACTCTCTCTCTCTCTTACCCCTCTCTCCCCTCTATCTCCTTCTACAACACTCTATACCTCCCTTTGTCTCCCCCTCTACCCCCTCTCTCTCATCTCTCTCCAATCTCTCCCCGCTCACCCTTTCCCCATCTTCCTCTCTATGTCCCATCTCTCTCTCTCTCTCTCTCTCTCTCTCTCTCTCTCTCTCTCTCTCTCTCTCTCTATTGTTGATCGTTTTATATACATTTGTAAAGACGACACTGCCCTTGTATAGCAGGCCTTTAGTCCTGGGCCCCGTCTAACAAACGGTCGCGATTGATCCAAATCAGTCGCAAGTCCTCCAACCAATCGCAAGTTTGCAATCTCCTATCTCTTATATACATAGTTGCGATTGATATCAAATCTTTGTAAGATGGGGCCCAGGCCTTCACGGTTTCATAAAAATTATTCATAATAAAAGTTGTCACATCTAATCAGTGTCTCTAGCTCACATTTAATAGGCTTTCTCTATCTTGCAATAGATAACAAGCTTTCCTTAAAACAAGATGCTGAATCCTTATCCTTCACTCCTTATTCCTAGACAAGACAGTGTTGTGATTGACAATTATCGTTTGTGTCTACAAAACACGGCGTCATATTGTGACATCTCCTTGAATCATCGCCTCTCCATTTCCGATCGACTAAAGCCATCAAGATGCGAGTCTGAAGGAAGTAAGACGCGCGTGCGAGGATTACTGGGATAAGGCAGCCCCCATTCACACTTGACGGGTTAAAGTACCTCCAAAACCCCTGGCGGCAAAATGTTAATAGTAACTTTATTCTGCATGTATGGGTTAATATAAAGAGGGTTTATATTATATTATTCTTTTGTTGTAATGATTGATTTAGTATTTGTATTCTGTCGTGTGTGAACAGGCTTGATGCAAAAGTATATTACGCCGAAGAAAGTGAGAGGAATAGTTCGTGAACTTGCTCTCGGGTCAGGAAATGATTTGAATCATAGTGACGTCATACATCGTGACATGATGCATCGCGAACAGTAGCGTAGTGTGTGTTACAGCCATAAAGGGGCACTGACATTATGGAGGGGGGGGGGGGGCGGCGCCTACCTCCGTAAAGGATTGAGTTGCAAATCAAAAAGATATCTGTTATCTTTTCTTCACGTTACATTCAACGTCCCCCTTTCCTTCTTTATTTAATTCTAACTATCTACTTTCCTTCTTTTAATTTCTGTTTAATGTTATCTTCATATTTGCTCTTTTTGTTTATTGTTAACTTGGTATTTCCACTCAATTGTAATTTGTTTTTCCTTTGTTAAAAAATGACAATGATCCTAGTTGGATTATATTTCATTATTTTTTAATTTGAATATGAATTTAATCTATGCTTCTTCCCCTTTCTCTCTCTCTCCCTCTCTCACTCTCTCTCTCTCTCTCTCTACCTCATTGTCTTTCATTCTTTATCCCCTCTTCCATCAAGACATGAATTCTTCCTTCAAATCTTTTTTGCTCATTATCACCCTTAACCCATGTGCACCAAGCGATTTTGTTTTCGCTCCATCTGAAATATTTCTTCAATCTTGGGTTCAATCGTAGTACTTGTACATACCATGTATAAAACAAAAGTACAAAACAATGTCAAGTCAATACATTTATTCATCTTTACATTCTAATTCAACAATACAATTTACAAAATGATTTTAATCAAGGTTATTAAACTAATTTCATGAACACAAACACTTTTTACGTTGCATTTTAACGTAGCCCATAGAGATATTTCATTTTAAAGTAGCCTATAAGCCGATAGTGGCATTTCCTCTTTCCATTATATATACAAACGGATTACTGTTTTCTTTTCACACATGCATGGGCATGGAAAAGATGACTGAACTAATTGATACACACATTTGAAAATATTCAGACAGATGCTGAAACATACCAATAAATTCTGTTAATATTCATTTTAAAGGTTGTGAAATAATATATAATCCGTCCAATCACGCTTTTTCTACTTTCAATTGAACTGCAATTAATTTGTATTACATCAAAACACTTCTATAACACTTTGCATCTAAGCTTATTCACTTGCATCACCTATACAATATAATTATGTACATACATTTGAAAACATCTTTGTAAAATTAAGAATTTTAACTTAGTACAAGTAATACAGTACAATAAACTTTCTGTAATCAAAACTACATTTTCGTATATATATAACAACAAATCTAATACGACACCTTTCCCTTTTTACGCCTTGCACACTTTGAAATCATCAAACTGTAAAATGATCTAATCACATATCATCCTATTAAGAAAATGAGCTATCATTTTCTTTGTTAGGAAAGCCCAGTTAAACTAGATTTCCTATCATCTTGATATTTCTTGTATACAGTTCGTCAAAAAGGCGTAAATATAACTTATTTGACCGATAGATTAGATTTCACCAACATAATATATTTATTGCACAGCCCCGACTAGAATGAAGAAACAAGCATGGGTGTTTCCATAGAGTTAACTATGGCCCTACTTCACTACATCTCTTCGTTTCAGTGTACATGTCTAAAGTCAAATGTCAATAGCTATTTCCTAAAAGTTGATCTACAGATCAAAGGGTCAAAACGTAGAGGGCGATTGTCCATTGCGATTTTGTGAAGCTGCCTCTTGAAGAACAAGCCCACCCCTCCCCTATTAAAGTTTGCATCGCCTTGAGCTTAGACACACATCATTAGAATACTTTCGACACATTTGACTTGCTAGTTCATTTAGTATGTTGCTCCAATTTTTGTTAGATACTAATATCATATCCAAAAAGTCAATAGCCCACTATACATTAAAACAAACAGTACTCATGGATTTAGGCTTATTCTAGTCCGTTCAATGGGTATAACTACAATGCCCGTTGCACATGAAGCCTCAATTTGATCATACGTCATTACCTACGCTAATGAAGTCTATGACGTCAGCTCTTTTCTGCGCCAGCATTATATTAATATGTAAGCACTGTTTATTTTGCAAACTATTCTTGTATGATTCGAATTCGAACGCAATGGTAAATAGCGCAGTCTTACGTCATCCCAATGACGCCCCGTTTGCAACAGATTCATACATTTTCCTTGCGTCGATGCATGGAGCGTCTTAGATGAATCGTGGGTCGAGACAAAGTCCCTTCTTGCTTGCCATGGGGTTCGTGATGAATTTCCCGTTCTCCTCAATGCAGGCTAGATCCTGCGAGCATGTTCCATAGACGTTCCACGGTCCTCCGCACTGCTCCCCTGGGCCCTACAGATCAAAAGAACCAGGAAAATACATGAGGTGCGTCAATATCAATATCAAGAAGATAGACATTCTCCGAGAATAGTCCACACGAAACATGTTGCGTAATATTGGACGTCATTGATCTGACGTGGCATTGCGTCATAGAGGTGCGTCAATATCAATGTGGACGAAGATAGATAGTCTCTGAGAATAGTCCACATGAAACATGTTGCTTAATATAGGACGTCATCGATCTGACGTAGCATTGCGTCAGCGGATACCGTCTTTGAAGCATCGTGTGATGATTCAATGCCACAAGAAAATTAATGCAAAAATAAACAGTGCACGTATTGCGTTGAATTACTGGCGCATCATAGGATAATTGTCATCACATACTTGAATAGCACACATACATGATAATGTAGGTTTTAACGCAATCTACTGACGCGGCTTGTGCGACGGACATAATACACTTTGAATTAAAAAAATCTGTACGGATCGAAGGATCTATAGGTCAGTCCACGAGCAGAAGGGCCAAGATTCGATGATCCAATCGTGGCTCTTGGTAAGCTAGGTTACTCGGCACGTGCGCTCCCCAGGTGTGGTCCATTTTGTCACCAGCATGATTAAACTTTGAACGCGGATTCTTGATCAGTAATTAGTCCCAATCTTTCTCCAAATTGCAACAACCCATGCATACAGCCGTTCCAACAACGACGGTAAAAAAAGTGTCAAAGATTCAAAGAACAGTACATGCGGGTCATGCGTTAACGTTCGTAGATTGCGATCACACAAATCGAAGACTGCCACGAAGGGTACCTAGAGTCCAAAATAATAATTATAAACATGTCCATAAAGATGTCTCCCTGTATTACGCTCTCCAACAATGAGTATGCTATATACACTCTAAGAACAGGAGCAGCAGGAGTCTTATACTTCGACCAGGGCAACATTGAAGTGTTCCTGGAGTGCGATCTCAAACCTCGGTGTTCCTACAGCATCCAAAGTCATCAGGTCTGGGCCCAGTATAGTCTACCACCAAGTCCTGCAAAGTCAGTCAATTAACATTTTAGTAAGTCCCACCAAAAGTTTGTTTTTTATAGTCGTTATCCAAAGACGAATAGTCTGTCTACTACGTCCTTATACATCATCAGGTCGGGGCCCAGTATAGTCCACCACCAAGTCCTGCAAGGTCAGTCAATCAACATTTTAGTAAGTCCCACCCATTGCTCGGTCTTTATATTCGTTATCCAAAGACGAATAGTCTGTCTACTACGTCCTGTTTAAGTCAGTTGGTCATTGTTTTAGTAGTCAGATACGTCCTACCAAAGTGTTTATCTTTATTCTGTCATTATTAGACAACAGTTATGCCTACTCACATGTCTCTTGAAAGTCGGTGTTTCAGCGTTTCATAATTATCAAATCTCACATTGTTAAACTAGTACAAATCCCAAAGTCACTAAAAAAAAACGTTCAAGCCCACTGCTGAAAAGCTCCACCTACCAAGATTTGTCTTAATCAATCATTGAATGCCCATTGAAATATGAAATATATGTTATTACAAATCGGCAATTCGTGAAGATCTAATTTTCTTAAGTGGGGCGAAAAATGCTGAATTTTTCAGTGAATTCAAACAACCTTGTAAGCATTTCATTTGCACCTGTTAAATATTTTGACTTAGCTAGGTCCTGTAAAATGGTGAAGTTCCATATCTACAAAGTAGGTTACCCAATGATCGAACATTCGTTCAAAAATCAATAAAATTGATCATAGACAACCAAATATTTGGATATTGAAATTAGGTTCCTTTTCTCCCTAATCTCTTCTCGACGTTTAAAGGGAACGGATACCATGGATATGTTTACAATTTTATTTTAAGCAAAGAAAACCGATGTCCTGAATCAGGTTTGAAGTATGAGGTAGTTACGATATAGGATCCAGTTTAATAAAGCAAAATCTTCTCGGTTTAGTTTTGATGAACTTATGGTTAACTTATTTTGTTTTTCAAGATATTTATTCAACCCAACAAAAATCTTTGAGTGAACAGTTCATAAGCCTTTAGAATAGCATCAGTTAAAACGAATTATGATAATCAGATAATCGTGAAAAACGAAAAATGTATGGATTTTGCTGAAAAAGCTCTTCGAATGAAAAGATTATAATTGATAATTAATAGGCCTATACAATATAGCATCATTGAGAACGAATTGTGATACCCATCTAACTAGCTTAGCTTATATACAATCCAAGCTTCCTGAATAATTACCAGAATATTCTGAATGCCCAAGGACCATCGACAATGGTCAACAAATGCGAGGCCAAATTTACAAATACCTGTGTCCTATAATCTTGCAGTATAGCATCGTAAAGTCTATATGTACACGTCCGTCAGGACCTACCAGTAACGGGTCTTGGACCTACCAGTATCATGTCTTGGACCTACCAGTAATAAGTCCAGGGAGGATAGTATGGGTTCTGGGGGTAGGATGGAGTCTCGGTCCGCCTAGGGCTATTACAAGTCCCGATTTTCGTTCCAAACGGGTTCATGGCGTTCGCGGTGAGCACGGTCCCGGTCTGTTTGTCTTGGCATTCTAGTCCAGTCGAGCAGGTCCCGGCGGCCTTCCACGGTCCTCCACAATTTTCATTCATACCCTGGAGGTCAAAGGTTAAAATTGAAATAGCATTTGTTTTAAGAAAAGTACTTTTATATCAATTATATAGGTTACGTTTCCTCTGTTAAATCTAGAAGTGTGTGGCTCACAAAGAAGAAAGGAATGGGACCTACGTGTATTATTAATATTCACAAAGACCTTGCATATTCTTCGAGAGATAGCCTGGCGGTCAAAAGGTTAAAAGTTAAACTTGAAATGACATGTATTTTTTTCTTGAAAGTAGTAGTAGTAGTAGTAGTTGTAGTGGTAGAAGTAGTAGTAGTGATGGTATAGAAGTAGTAGTAGGGGGTGGAGAAAAGAACGCAGACTTCGCTCCTTAAAAATTATGGAAATTCTATTGTTTTCATACGGTACGGGCCATGTTGTGGCCAATTTTCCTACATTGTACGCATTTTTTTAATATTACAATTAAGCTCATTTAAACCTTTAGAAAAAAATGAGAACCAAGAAAGGCATGGAATGTAATCGAAGCTTCTACACCAACTCTACAATTTTAGAAGGCAAGTTTCCTAGGGGGGGGGGGGGGGGAGGGGGAGCTTGCCTACTAAACTTTAAGGTTGGTAGAAGCTTAAACTTCATGACTATGATTACCACAACCAATGACAGTTTTCTGTAAGGACGGCATGTGCTTGCAAATAATGAAAGATTAGAGGGATGAACAATTAATTTTTTAATTGCTGTTGCGGCATTTTGACATCTTTCAATGTAATCCTAGTTTGAATTGCTGTGGTTCTGTTTTTGATTCAGGATTACGTAAAAATCCTCCCGTCATCGCTTTAATTCTACGCGGTTGCTTTGTGAGCTTTGGGGGATCAATTTACAATAGCACATCAGCTCCATAATCATGGTTAATACTTTTTTTTAAATAAATGTGATGAGATTTTCGTCTTCAGCAACAACCGTCAACTATTTTGCAGTAATCTAAGGCGTGCCAAGCACAATATTGCTGGGACAAACTGTGCTAAAAGGAAAGTGGGTGCCTCCAAACAAAACAAAACCAACAAAGAAAGAAAGGAAAATAAATCGGCCCATATCAATACCATAAGCTGTTGATAAGGCTTTTTGGGGGGCAATATAAGCAGATTTCTATCCTTCTCATTTCTAATCTTTACACTACCTATCTCCATATACTTCCTCTCCCCTACTTATTTATTGCTGTGTTACGTTTGTGTGTTAGTGGTACCAGACACGATTAGCATTAAATGCTATTTCTGGTCCCATTTATCCTTTCGATGTTAACCATTCACATTTGATTGTTATATTGATGTACTTTTTGTTTTGATTAATAAACTTCAAACTCAAACTCAAACTCAAACTCAATACTGTTCGGACTGTCTTCTTGTCTCCTTGTCTCCCGGTGTTTCGGAACTTTTGCCATATTTCTTTTCTTAATCATTTTACTGTTGACTGTTGGGTAATTTCCTTTGCTCTTGCATCAGTTGCATGATAAGGGAAAAAAAAGTCAGAATTCTTTGACAAGCTAAACAAATTAGGAGATGCTTGTGGTGGTTCACTCCAAAATTCTCGGACAAACCCACTATAGCACCCCTCAAAATATTGCTTCCACGCGCACGATTAAATTTGGTTTGGTTTGGTTTTATATTACGTATAAAAAGATAAATACACACATAATTATTTAAATGATTATGCATATCAATTTTGTTTAAATGCTTGCCCCATTTACAGCCTCTAAATATGTAAGCGTACCTATAGAATATGCCCAATTGGGGGATTTAAAGGGGAGCCCCTTTCCATGTGACCCCCCCCCCCCCCATCCTCTGGATACACCACTGGTTATCAGTCGTTGTTAAAAAAACAAGTTTTATTGGCGTGTGTCATTCATTTATGAATATTTACGCCGTCAATTTGAGGTGTCATAGTCTTACATATACGTCAGCGGACTATATGGATCAAAGGCAGAGGTTAATAATTTGAAGAGCCAGGAGCCCCGCCCCCACTCCGGGAACGGAGGAACCGCATTCATGACAGACGTGAGCACTATTATAGTACAAGAACCCGCTACTAAAAATACGACGCGGTAAACCGCCACTCCCCCCCCCCCCCCAAAAAAAAAAAAGCAGCAGCGGTTTATTCCTAATGTGTAAATTCCGGCGCGTGTAAATGAATAGAAACTGCGCGCGCAACAATTCCATCTTTTCGTCATCGGAAAACGACACAAAAAACGCCACGATTTTACCGCGTCATTTTTGAACGAGTGAGAGATTTTTTTACCTGTGAGCAAACCAAGCAGCATCCGCATGCGTCGTGTACAAGCTGTTTGCCCGGCTGGCATGCAGGGGGTTGTTTCGTCGAACATCTCGTCGGGTCTTCTCTGGGTTTCTTCCAGCAGGGGCAGCTCAATCCATGGCAGCTATTTAACAAAATAAAACGCGAATATATCACATTCATATCTATTTCTCTCTCCCCCCTCTCTCTCTGATTTATTTAGACATTCAATAAACAAACACAAATATATGTCTTGGGATGAACGGTCATGAAAAACGAAATAAAAAACAAAGAAACAAATTGGTAAAATAGTTAAAGAGGTAAATATCAATAAAAGCGCACATTCAAATTCTACAGCATGTAAACTTTTAACTGGTGACAACGAATTATTAAAAATAAATATTTAAAGGGTTGAGTATTAAGTTGCACGAAGGCTTCATTATTATGACGGTATTTTAATTTAGGGGGTTAATAAAAAAAGGCTATTATCATTATTGTTACGCCTCTGTCTATTTCATGTTTATTTTACGTTCACCTATAACTGTGATTTTCGTTATGTACAGTATTGTTCTCATGTAGCCCCCCCCCCCCTTATAGTATAAACCTCCCTCACGTTTCGCTGAATTAGATACAGAGGGCATTTAAAAAGTTGTCATTATTCAAAATCATTTTCATCATGTTGATATGATATAATTTATACTTAATACTTAGATATCATTAAAGAGCCTTTCAAATTAGTTCACCGTTTAATATTCTTTTTAAAAGCGAGGCAGAGAGGAGGAGGGTTACACCCGAGCTTTGATAGAATAGGGTATATTTCTCTCCGAGTTTGCATAAGACCTTTAAAAAAAGATGTTGTATTGCCCTTTGTGACCAACCCAAACATTTTCAAATCGACGGTCGGCTTTAAAAAAAAAAAAAAAAAATTCTTCTACCGTTTAAAAACTGAGAAATATCAGCCCAAAGGGAGGTGTTGTGGTCGAGTGGATACGTCGCCGGACTGTCGATCACAAGGTCCGCGGTTCGAGTTCCGCCGCTGCACTAATGTCCTTTGGCAAGACATTGATCTACATTTGCCACTTGAACTTGCATGGTTGTCATAAAATCTTGTTATTTTTGTAACTAAAAGATATATGTTATCATTATCAGACAAACTATATATTATATACTTACTTTTCAATAACGACAATCAGCACGGTGATAACAAGCAGCATTGATTTCGCAGCCATCTTGAAATCTGCATGGTAATTGTCAAATTCAAATTAATTCATTTCACATCTCTTTAAAATACAATGCATGCAGAAATAAACAATTTAAGAAGACATTTTGAACAGACGTTAAACAATTTTTGTTTAATGAAAAAGAAAGATGCGTACACTGCGCATATTAAGTGGATGTGATGGCGTAGAAAAGGCCATTAACCCGTCAAGGCTATACCCCATGTATTAACATTCATCGCTATTACAAATCAAAATTTACGGAAATAAGAAAGAAAAAATAAAGACAAAAATACAAACAAACAAAACATACGGAATATCACAAAATAGCATGAATTATTACAGGCAATGATAATTGGAGAATTTTTTTTTTGGTCATTTCTTTTAAAAGATTGCTTGAGAATGCTGTCACAGTAAAATGAAATATCTATTTTATCATAATTTCTTGTTAAATATTCATTCATGTTACGATTACTAATGAGCAATTAGTGATTCGATTAGACTTAGTACTTGATCATAATCAAAAGTGGCCTGAGGTACTTTTTTTCCAATACTAAAGGTCACTGTAATTTGTGAAATACGATTCATAAGTTATGTAAATAACTTTCTTTTAACAAAAATGGCGGAAAGCTTCAACAGTTGTCTTCATAATATTGTGAGAATTCTGAAACAAAAAGGAAGTAATAAAGTGCTATATATATCGTTTTCAATAGCAAAAACTATAGCATTTTGTATAATGAAACTGAACGAAACATAACAAAATATAGGCCTAGATGAAATAACTCTGAAATAAGATCGGAATATTACTCACCTTCTAACCGGTTAATGTTGGAATAATAATGATATCATACAAATTAAACCAATACGATAGCAATTGCGAGAGGTAAGTCTGCGTTTCACCTATACATTTAACATAAAGCTATCCAATGAACACCAATCCAACTCGCACCTATAACAGCTACAGCGTACGTGTCGCGTTTATATACAAAATATCAAATCCCATATCAACACCACAGCGGATTAATTTTAATCCATGTGGATTTAGCTGTCTCTCGTTTGTGATATTTGTGGTTAGTTACGCTTGTCAACACGTTTAGTCTGCTAAGATAATTATTTCCAGTTTTCGAGGAAACGCCAAGCTTTAGTAGGCGAATGACCTGTACTTTAGAGGTTCATTAATATTTATTAAAAAAAAAATTCCTGCATGTCGACTGAGTGGACTGATGAAGTCGGGCGTACTTAATAAGCCCTTAAACTTAGATTTTAGTTATTCTTAATTTTTCAGATTTGTAATTCTTATCAATAAAGCTGAACACAATTTATTGCTATAAAACCGACTCTAGACAACTTAAAAAGGGCTTTATTCACGCCAGACCCTTTGGGAAGTGTCTGAATAATCATGGGAGGTGCATTTTCTGTACATTATGATGGCACGTGCATGCACCATATTTCGCATTTATACCCTCCCCTTTTCATAGAAGTTACTTGAGCCTATAAACAAAAACAAGTGATAGATATTGTTTCTATGTACTATGATGGCTCTCAATTAGTACAACGCTGGTCAAATTCATAATCAGTTAATACAATACAAGTTTAGTTGTGGCAATGGCTCCATGAAATGGATTAATCACTGATTATTCAAGATAGTGTTACATTAATCTATTGATGTTAATAGCCTACTTCACAAACTCAAAACGAACCGATCGACATCAAGATAAAGAGCAAATTAAATCATAATTTTACTACTACTACAACTACTACTACTACTACTACTACTACTACCACTACTACTACTACTTCTAATATTACTACTTCTAATAATACTACTACGTACAAGGGATGGTTCTATAAGGGGTGTAAGAGGGACTCAAGCCCCCCATGAAATAAAATCTTCGAGCCTCCCCCCCCCCATTTTTATTAATCATTAATCTTCAAAAAGAACCAATAAGAACAAGAGCAAAAAAATAAAATAGTACTACTACTACTACTACTACTATTACTATCAGGCGCGGATCCAGGATTTCTTAGGGGAGGGGGTCCAACTTTTATTTTTTTTGCTCCTGAAAATTTGAAAATCGTGCCGGCCGAAAAGTCGCTCAGTGGGGGGGGGGGGGGGGGGGGGGGGGGGGGGGGGGGGGGGGGGGGGGGTACTGAGCACATTTTAATTTTGTTGGTCCTCGAAAAATTAAAAATGTGCACCCTCCCCCCTTGAGCACCAGGGGGGGGGGGGCCAACCCCCCCAAAAAGGTAAAAATCACGTGTTTTTACATGATTTTTTTCTCAAGGGCGGGGGGGGGGGGGGGCCCGCCCCCTGGATCCGCCACTGATTACTATAGCCTACCTCTAATAATACTACTACGTACAAGGGATGGTTCTAAGGGGATGTTAGTGGGGACTCAAGCCCCCCCCCCCATAAAATTAATTTTCGAGCCTCCCCCTCCCCATTTTTATACCCAGAAATAGATTTATTGTATTTGTATTTCCAAGAACACATTATTCGGAAAAAATAGTTAAAAACAACCCTATAAATAATAGTTATATAATATTTATGCAATTGAGATTATTAAGTGGAATAATTGACTGATAATCAGTGGATTTCCGTTGGTGTTGCCGTGAAGATGCCATAAGCTCATCATACATCGTCACAGAGCAATGCACTTTCAACTGCTGTATTGTGTATCTATGGGCATCAAGTTGGCACTGACATCGAGCATTACTAAAAACAATTTGAAAGAGCATCTGTAGAGATAGAGAGAACAGGACAAGAGGAAAGGACTTTAATGGCCCTTGATCCTTTTATATATCTCCAGGGGGCGTTTTTACAAAGACTAAGATCGACTTTAAGTTGGACTTATCTATGACAGGCTGGCTATTCATGCCACTGGTTGGTCTCACTATTGGTCTTTCAATTATTATCTTAAGATAATAATTTTTCCTTCAATAATGGAAAAAACACATTTAAATTCTGTAGATTTGTGACCAGATTTATACGTCCCTTCAGAGACTAATGCCAGTATGGTAAGAGCAAACAGTGGCATGAACAGCCTGCCATAATTAAGTTCAATTTAATTTGTATATTACAGAGGAGCTTCATTGTACAACAAATTACCAGCTAATACCCGTAGTACTTGCACGATTCGAAATTTCAAATCCAATCTGACAACTTTTTGCACAGTATCTTAGAAATGTGCTCAATAATCTGTTTACCCCTCTTTCCTTTTACTTTATTTGTTCAGGGTTCGTGCGGTTCTGTATCATCCCTTATAAAATCCACTGAATATGAATTCTAAATGTAAATTGAATTTATTAGCTCGAAAATATATTATACATATTCAATTGTTCAGTTATATCGTTTATGTTTTGTTTAATGAAATTTTTATATTGAATTTATATACTTTTAATTCTGATTTACCCATGATTGTATAAAATACCTGATTTTTATGTAATAGCTTTTTATCCGGACCCCATGGAAGAACAGGCGTATTTTGTTGATACGCCTAAAATGGGCTATCCGCCGTATATCTCATTTATGTATGTATTTGTATGTTGTGATGATTTTATACGGAAATAAAAACAAACAAACAACGTTGACATTTAGTCAGTATTTGTGAAACACCCCTGGTTGCACGACATATACTTGCACATGCAGGCGCGTACGCAGGGGGGGGGGGGGGGGTAAACCTCCTTCAATTTTATTTTATTTTATTTAGTTATTTTTTGTTCAACGGGGGGGGGGGGGGGGGGTGCTGAGAGGGTGAAAACAAACAATGCATAATATCCCGGCGGGAGAATCACCACTTTGAGAGATAATTTATACCTGGATTTTATGGTATCAAACTATCAATTAAAAACAAAGACAAAGTAAGAATAATCTAGATGCATCTTTATAAAATAAAACATTACTTGGATTTCGATGGTCGCAATACGCGAAATCAAAGCGTGATGTAACGAAGAGGGCGCTCTGCTATTTCGTTTTATATTCGTTTATCCATCCATCCATTCGTTGAATTTTGTCAAGATGCAAACCAAGATGTAAAGAATTTCACTTCGGTAGGATTATTATTCTGTTGGTGAGTACATAAATGTGGTGCCTGCTTTGAGTGGTTGTGACATTACTAGAGAGTCGAATACCGTTACATGTTCTGTTGAAGTTTATTTAAGCTGAAACGCTGTTTGCATGTGTGCATGTGTAATGTTGCTTTCTTCTGTCCGACCTACTGAGATTCATGTCGTGTAGAGGTAGGCCCTATAGGCTGCATTATCACCACGATTGGATCACAAGCGCAAGCGGTAGACTCGTTCGATAAATTCAGCATGATTGCATTGAAATATTTGAACATTTTGAATGTTGAGGGAACATTATTTTATGCATATATTTCTTAGTTGCAGTTCAATTTTTGTTTGTTGCTTTTTCGAAGGAAACCAGATGAAGTTATTAATTTTGACTAAGAATTTCAATTGTTTGAATGAAAGAAAAAAAAGAAAGAAAGAATTTACCTTTACCCGAGATTCTGGAAGAATGCTGTGTTCTCAGCAGTCAGGCTTCCAGTTCAATTTCATTTTCTTCCTTCTCGTAGTTGGGTGTCTTCTCGTTTAGTTTGTCTGGCTCAGTTCTGCATCGGGTATTCTACTCATATGGGGAGCAGAAACGCTTGTCCTTCCATACTCGATCCAGTCTGGCTTTAAAGGCATTCTTCGTGGTAGCAGTGACTACCTCTTCAGGAAGTGTGTTCCAGTCATTGATGATGAGGATGAGAAAGAAGAAACCGAGATTGAGTGATAATACTGCCTACATGTAGATCTAGACTCTGCATCTGGAGAGTAAAGAAGAACTAGAAAGGAAAAATCAATGAAACTTCTTGTATAATTTGTATTTTGTTGTTGGAATGTTGACATCATTCATTGTAGTAGGGTGTCTGATCGCGCACCCGATGTTGTGTGCTAAAATCTTTCCCATAGAGATTGCACACATCCCTATGTGGTCTACATGCATTGCGCGACCAAGCAGAATTGGTCAATGATTTTATGAAAAATTTGAAATTCAAACCTTTATAACAAATGATCCTGAAGGTGAAACTCAATAAATGTGGTGTCATATGAAAGAGCAGGTTTTTCTCCATATTCCCCATAGGGGGCCACCCCGGAATTCTAAAAATATCTTGCTCAAAACAACGATTTAAACATCGTTTCCATGGTAACTCGGAGATTTACCAATTTCACGAACTGCCCCCCCGAGGGATAAGTTGGGCCAGCTGTAAAGAATATATCCATGCACTTATTTTTTCTCTAGTCCCAAGGGATCATTTGTTACAACAGTTTGAAAATACCCTTGCTCCACGCTTTGCATATCGCGCTGTGCATTAGCTGTGCAGCTTTTGAGCAGAATTTATAACTCTGCGTGAACCACTTTTCTGTCCATTATGACCAAAATGCTATGAATATTGCACAGTTTTTGAGGGGCTGTATCTTTTGATAGAAACATCGGTGAGTCTTGAAATTTGAAAGGTATTATTCTGATTACATTTTTTACTCCAATATCCAACAAAAATGGTGAAAAACGATCCCAAATTGAAAATTGAAAAATCGTTCAGACACCCTAATTGTAGTTGACTGGCATGAAAGTCTTTTTCGGTTGTTCCTCTCTTCTTTTTATTCTTCTCTTTTTTTCCTTCTCATTTTTTGATTTTTTTTTCCTTCTCATTTCTTTTTCTTTTCCTTCTTTTTCTTTTCCTTCTTTTTTCTTCTTTTCTTCTTTTCCTTCTTTTTTCTTCCTTTTTTTTTCTTTTTCGTTTCCTTCTTTTTTCTTCATTTTTTCTTTTTCTTTTTCTCCCATTGCTTCTTCTTTACTTCCTGTTCTTTGCCTTTCTTTGCCTTTCTTTCTTCTTCTTTTGTTCTTGTTCTTGTTCCTCATTTTCATCATCATCAACTTCATCATGATCATCATGATCATCATGACCATCATGATCATCATCATCGTCATCATCTTTAAACATGTCAAAATGCTATCACCTTCGAACCATAATACCTGTTGTTTCAACTTGTTTATATCATATTTTCTCTTTACAGAAAACAAACAAACATCAATTCCATCCTCAGGAGTAATCCTCTAATTTGGAAGGGACTCTACATATTTGTGTGAGACACAGTCCCAGCCCCAAACTAAAGAATGCCTGAGTTAATCCCCACGGCGGTGACGCCGTCCGAGGTCGATGAACCAGCAGAGAAGTCAGAGGCTCCAGCCTCTAAGCCAATGGTCGGCATCATCTACCCTCCACCAGAAGTTAGAAGTATCCTTAACTTGTAAATGTGGGAAAGCAAAATAGAGTAAAGGATGTGGGGTACTTCAAGGGAAAATGCCCCTTAGATCCCTAATCAGCTCATAGAGATTTTTTGTGGACATATTGGCCTGAATCCAGAAAGGAGGTTTAGCTTTATAACCCATACTTTAAACCCTCTTTTTCATAACCCATGGTTTACAAATTAAGCAAAAAATAAGCGTACCTTGTCTTGCACTTGAGTGGGTTATTTAAATGAGGGTTTAAACTGTGGGTTAAATTTAAACCTCCTTTGTGAATAAAAAAGTTGAGCATATTCATGGGGACTGAAAGAATGCTTTATCTTTAATTTTGTGTCAAGTATTTTTGTTTACCTTACAAATAGTCCATTTCCTTTCATAAAGAAAATATGAAATCTATAAAGTTGACACACTTGGTAAAAAAGTTGAATACATTTGAATGCTCACATTTGGAGGCGTCTGGTTACCTTGATCTTGCTGTAGTGTATTTGTTATCTATATATTCTGACAGCGCATATCATTCCCTTCAAAATGATATAAAGTTTGGACTAATTACAGTACATGTACATGTAGAGTAGATTGTTTTGAAAAATTGGATAGTTGTTGACATATTTACGTATTTGTAGGTTCTGACTTTTGACCTGAACCAAATAAGTCTTTCCCAAATATCAATTCCAAATCCTTGAATGATAATGTTTAAGACATGTATATGGAGCCAGGTAAGTTATTTTGAAAAGCTAAACATCCTCTTTGCCATTAATGTTTTAATTTCTGCCCAAGCAAGATATAAATAGTAGCAGTTTCATTTCTATTGTACTTTTAAAGTTAAACATGTACATGTACCGGTTGAAGTTGTTGATGCTTGTACTTGTATTGCATGCTGTTATCTCAATATCGTTTCCTGTGTCAATATCAAATAGCAGGGCATTCAGAGTCCTTTTCAAAGGCAATGATATTCCCTAAATTCATTGTACAATAACTAAAAATGAGGATGTTTAAGGGTGATCTAACCTTTCTAAGGAGTTGAATTGGATGAAAACAGACAAGTAAAAAAAAAGGGGGAATGAAAATTCAAACAAAATCAGACTTATTTTCATTTGTTATGATTCCAACTTTAAACAATGTACCTACATGTACAACCTGCATAGCTTGCCTTCTATTCAGCAGTGTTTTTTTTAAAATTCCACCTGTTTGCTTCCTTTGAAAGTGTCTGCTTTTAATTCAGTGCAACTTGCTATTGAGGTTTGATTTCTCTGTAAGCATTACCATGATGAAAGTGTCACAGTCTGTACATTGTAGATGTACACATTGTAATATCGCTAATGTTCCCTTTCAGCAGCGTACCACGTTTTATGAGAGTATTAGTTGTCCTTCCTGAACGCACCGCTCAGATATTGTGGACAAAACCGCCAGTTTTGTGGCCAGAAATGGTAAGCATAAATTATGTCACTTTTTTCACAAGGAAAAATTAGTCAGTATTAAATTACAAATAATGAATTTATTCACCATTGACTCATTTTAAGTCCGAACATTATTTCCTCATTCTCATGATAAACTAATTCTGGTATTTCCACATCCTCCTAAACATTAATACTGGTATTATGCACACAAAAAAAGGCACCGATTGATATAAGGATTGCATTTTACAACACAACGGCTTTGCAAAATTTCCAATTTTCTGTATTGATTAGCCCCATGACAATCCCTTGTACACATTATTGATTTTTAACCTTCTTCAGGAAATGGTTGAATACTCTTGAAGCCTTTGGTATATCTCTCCTATGATAACTATATTGTGACACAGGGAGATAATAATTCAGGTGGCATGAGATAATTCTTTATAATCACATTACAAGGAGAGTATGTAGAACTCATCAAAAGAAAGAGAGATGAAAAACAATGAGAAATTGTAAAATAAGGCAATAATAGATATATGCAAAAATATATTGGGGATCAAATGCAGTTTATTCATTCATTTCTTAAAGATAACGTTGAGTTCTGGTCATGCTATTGCACTGTGTAAGAAATAGTGTGGTATTGATCAGAAAAGGTTGATCATCTAGTACATAAGTATTGGTGTGTACTGCAAGGTTCTGGAAACATCAAAATGATAAGACATTTGACATACTGTAGTCTTGGTGAAGTTACAAACACTATACACAGAAATATGGGGCTACATTAACATGTGGCATAAAAATCTGTCCAGATTTTAACGCTGTTACATGTCATATTTAGAATATGAAGGCATTTGAAGAGCCATGCTTTTCAGGGAACATGTTTTAACTGATGTTCTTCCATACTTGCATAAAAACAATGATAACGCTCACCAATTATTTTTCGCTTCTTCCCAGAACTCAACCTTCTCTTTAAAAGATGTTTCCCGTTAGAATGGTAGGGAGTAGAGATTGTACTGTTTCATGTACATGTACATGTACATTTGTGATTTGCCTTACATACACGTACATGTATATTACATGTTTTTTTTGTTTCTCTCTTGCTATTCTATTCCAGGACCGGAGTTTGAATCGAGGATCCGTCAGAATGAGATCTCCAACTCCAAGTTCAACTTCTTAAACCCTGGAGATCCCTACCATGCCTACTATAGGCATAAGGTCAAGGAATTCCAGGAGGGGAAAGCCGTCGAGCCCTCCGGGGCCCTGCCACTCAAGGTAAGAATAGATTTTTAAATGAGAGCATAGCTGCCAACCATTCCTACTTTGGAGGGATGATTTCTTCTTTTTTTGCCTTCAAGCTATTGTTTTAAATCCTAGATTCCTATTTTTTTATATTATATTCTGTGTGAAAAGTTGAAAAGTATACAAAATAAACTTTATTCCTAATTTTGCATTGGGAAGTTCCTTATTGCTGTGAAGGGTTGGCAGAGGGAGAGGGACGTCAGTTTCATTGTGCAGAAGGCCACGGTGGGAATCAAAAGCAGTTTATTCATAACTTATTCACAAAACCAAAGTAGGCATTCACTCTACGTGGTAGAGTACCGACGACAAAAAGGCTCTATCTAAATCTTATGGAGAGACTTGTCAAATGTCTGGTTTGGATCACTCAGGAATAAAAGGAATGTCAAAGTGCATATAAATATAAATTATTTTTTCATATATGTACCTGTACAAGAACTCAAAACCTTTTGCACTCATGCTTTCTAAGCAGTCGGGTAAAATAACCACCTCTAAACCTTCTTTTAAAGGTACTATATCCCTTTTGCAGCCAACCTTAAATTCTGTAGAACTTTGCAGGAATTATGAATATGTCATGTCCTATCTGTGAAATTCAAACGTTAGCAGTGTCCTCATATTCAAATTATGCAAGGAAACCCGTTTACTTGCTAGACTTCACTGTCAGACACTATTGAGTGACTGACTGGCTTTTTTTCTTCTTTGGTAATAACATACATGAAAAGAGTTGTAAAGGGTACATGAGTATTTGTCTACATCAATAACCCACTTCTTGTGATGGCCAAGATTAAACTGATTGAATCTTTGTGCAGCATAAAACGTATGACCTTTCGGTACAATTGTCTGAAAATCAAGACTATTACGTTTGGGCTCTATAGCCCTAAAGTCGATTTGACAACTAATAGTCGTTATTTTCCCACTTAAAGACATTTTCAAGCCCCACCTTGTTTAGGGAAGTTCTAAATTAGTATTATCTTTCAAATGCAGTTGGAATTTAACTTTTTCATTTTTTTGGCCTGCAAATGGGACATAGTACCTTTAAAATGGCAGCCCAACCTTTCTATTACAAGATGAACTGGTAGAAAATATAGAAAATTTGAAATCAGTGAATAATGTAAGTTGAAGGGATTGGGTAGCTTTGTCTCAGATTCTGAAACAAAATCCTGCATTTAGCTCATGCTGCAATGATAATCATAAACCTTTAGGTCAGTCAGGAACCCCATGACTTTTACAAGCCGATCGCCTGTCTGATTATCAAGATATTTATGATTGGAAAACAACATTTAAACATTTGTTTTCCTAACGGTTTTTATAACACTACAGTCTATTGAGGAAAATGAGCATGGTAAAACTGGTCACTCAAAGATTTTTACTTTTTTGAGGCACTTCATGATCATTTTTAAGCGCAATTTTTTTAGGGCTTCAATATTACACCATATCACAGACACTGATAACACGTAGGGCCATGCATCTCAGATTTAACATTGTTAAACTATGCCTTTAAAGTTTGCACGTTATTGGAGAAACAATCTAAAATAGTCAACAATATCAATTTCCTTTACATTTCTATGAATTACATTTTTGTGATTTTATTTTCTGATTTTGTCTGTGAAGCTCCAGCTACAGTTGACGGCCAGCCAGCCGAAGCCTGCCCTCTTGGTCGAACCTATCGTACCCAAGGAACCCCCACCGGAATTTGAATTTGTATCAGACCCTCCCTCCATCAATGCGTTTGATCTGTAAGTTTTTTTTCTCTTCACTTGTCACATTTGGCCTTATTGAAGTACAGACAAGAGTATGCAGCCTTCCCGCGTGCGTTCTTAGGTTAAAACGCCGCGGCTTCTCGTGCATGGTATTTAATCCAAGGCGCCTTAGACAAAGGATGAACAAGAATAACATTGGAATTAAATGGATCAAGTAATCCAAGGTTACAGAGTTAAAGATAAACTTGAGTTCTGGTAAAAAAAAAGAAAATGAATTCTCACAGAATCAGACAAAACTTACACTGAATGTTCAAGATTACAAATAAATATCATTTGCCAAACAATTTTGGTAGAAAATGTATACTGGCTGAGTAATGAGCATAGAAAGATAAGGAAATCAAGGTAAGTATAAAGCCCGACACCATTTGTGTAGTCCCATATACATCTTTCTGTGTACAGTGCTTGTTACTTTACTAAGACTGGGCAAAATTTATTATGATTTTGATGACTACAGAACATTGCAGTACACACCAATACATGCTACATCATCAACTTTTTCGGATCCATTCCACATCTTTTCTTTCACAATGCAATCGCATGACCAGAACTCAACTTTATATTTCATAGGTCATACCAAAACTTTTTTTTCACACTTTGTTTTTCCTTTTTCATTAACATATTTGGAACATACATGTATATAAATAATTGATAATCAATCTTTTCTGCAAATGTCATTATCCAGGAAAACTGAAAAGATTGGAAAGTTTTTATATTTTTTTCTTCAGATAAATAATATTGCAAATAAAGAAGTAAAATGCTGATCCATATGTAGATTGAATAAAAGTCAAGCGTTGCTAATGATTTCTGTTGGATTTCTTTTGACCTCATCCAGAGATGTTGTGAAGCTGACCGCCCAGTTCGTTGCCCGGAACGGCGGTCAGTTCTTGACCAATCTGATGAACAGAGAACAGAGGAACTACATCTTTGACTTCCTGAGGCCTCAACACAGCATGTTCAACTACTTCACAAAGCTGGTTGAACAGTACATCAAGGTAGATACAAAGGGTTGACTGCTAAGTAAGCATGTACAGTCAAACCTGCTTTAGTGACCACCTGTCTACAAATACAACATATTTTGCTTCCCTTGAAAATGGTTTCTCATTGAAACATGTACTAAATGAACCTGTACTTAAAGACCACCTGCCTATAAAGACCACTGTTCTTGTCTCCCTGGTGTGGTCTTTATAGACAGGTTTAGCTGTATATGGTTGTTTAAATATTAAGATCCACTTATTTTACAATACCATTTTGTAAGGAAGAAACTGAAGCGATGAACATGAAAAAAAATAAGAAAAGAGAAAAGATCTGATTAATTATGTAATTTTGAACAAAGTTGACTTGAACTAAAGCAAGTCAGCTATGACCGTGACATCAATAAAAAATATACACAAATTGTACAAATACATGTATATGTACAACTGGGTATGATCAATACCTACCAGCTGTTAAACAATTATCATTATCTGCCAGGTATTTTTAAACTTGTAACTACCGGTAACCTAATCTTGGTTGGTTAGTTTTGAAGCCACCTGGGGTCTGTTTCATAAAACATGTTATCAATAAAAGTTACAATAACTGTTTTAAGCTACAGTGTACATGTACTGAAATCTGGCATCTGATCAGCTGAGTAGTGATGGAGCGCTATGGATTGGTTGCTTCATTCATGCGAGCGAGCTTCCGCTTATCTGCTTTGTGCATGCATGCTCCCATTCGTAATAGCAGTTATTGTTCATGCCCATTGCACTGTGCCTAGTGTTTCGCACGCGCTATTGATAGTACCATTGTGTTAATCCGATTATCTCAAAATTAACTAGGCACGGGGACTTGAGGCTTGGCACAATGGGGATTAGCCCTGTGGTACCAGGCTGTATTCACCATGGCAGGATAAGAGTTAAAGAGAAGGTTGAGTTCTGGCAAGAGCTGACAAATAATTTGTGAGCGTTATCATTGTTTTTATGCAAGTGTGGAAGAACATCAGAAACAAAATGTTCATTGAAAAGCATGGCTCTTCATATGCTTTCATATTCTAAATATGGCATACAACATCATAGGCATCGGGACGTATTCCACCACTTGTTCTTGTAGTCCCATATACATCTTTCTGTGTACAGTGCCTGTAACTTTACCAAGACTGCACAAAAATTTCTTATAATTTTGATGATTCCAGAGCCTTGCATGATCAACCTTTTCTGATCGATTCCAAAACGTTTCTTTCACAATGCAATCGCATGACCAGAACTCAAATTTATCTTTAAAACAAGAGTTCTAATTTGTTTTCTTTTTCCAACCAGGTGTTGATTCCTCCCAAAGACTTGCATGAGAAGCTGACAGAAGAGGGCGCTACACGCAAGGTTGTCATGGAGCAGGTGTCTCACAGGGTGGAGTGGGAGAAACACCAGGAACGACTGAGGAAGAAGGATGAAGAGGAGAGGGAGAGAGAAAGAGGTATTAAACAGGCCTGATAATTACCTGATTTAAATCGGTTTCCTAATTTAAAAAAAAAAAAAATTCCCCATTTTTTTTCTTCCCGATTTTACCCCTATTTTCCTGATTTTTCCCTTGTTTTCCCTGATATTCTTAATTTTTTCCCAATATTCTTACTCAAAAGGGGGGGGGGGGGGGTTTGTTAGATGCCCTTTTTTCCCCCTGAAATTTTTTTTTTAACTCAAGGGGGGAGTAGTTGAGGTTGTGGTTGATTTAGTGCTCACTATAACCCCTGATTAAAGCATCCTCTTGATAACATTGCTTTATTCTTAAAACTTGTAACTGATTTATAGTGAAGAATTGGGGTTAATTTTTGTTTATTTAATGAAATCAAAATTTAAAAAAGTATTGAAAAAAAAACAATGGCCAAAAGTAACATTGCCTGAAGTTTTTCTTTAGTTCCATTCTCCTTAGTTGCTAAGTCCTAGATTGCTTGGCATGATTTTGTGGCCATTAAAGCCCAAGTCCACTCCATGAGTTGAGTTGCCAATTTGTGTAGTGATTTTCAAAGTTTTTCATGTAAATTAAAAATTCATAACTTTCTTATTAGTTATCTGATTTTGCTCAAACTTTTTTTGATTGGTTTGTCTGATTTTTCTGCTTTTATTGAAAGTAAGTTATTTTTCAAGTGGACTTGTCCTTTAAGACGTTAGATTACCAGCCTGAGGAGGGTCTATTGTAATCCCTCCTCACAAACAAAGTAAAATTTGGTCTAGGATCTTAGCGGAGGAACAATACATATTTCTTAGCTAATCAGGGGGGTGTTTCACAAAGGCTAAGATCGACTTAAGTTGGACTTGACCTATAGCAGGCCATTCATGCCACTGGTTGCTCTTACCATTGGTCTCTCAAGAGATATCAGAAATCTTCGGAATTCACATTTTTCGATAGTTTATTATGGAAGAAAAAACAGTTTCCGTAGATCATAATGACATTTGCTTACCGGTGTGTTGGCTCAGTCAGTAGAGCGTCCGCCTCACAACCAGGAGGTTGTGGGTTCGAACCCCGGCCGCGTCATACCAAAAGACGTTAAAAGACGAGAGTTGCTGCTACCTTGTTTGGCGTTCAACAATAAGGGATAGAGCAACGTCGACCTGGCGCTGCTCAGTGGCTGCCGGGCTCACGATCAATTGGGCAAAAAGAATTTCCATTTTCAGTTTAACTTAATAAAATTTGAAGTGGACTTTAAAAAGATTATTATTATTATTATTATTATTATTAAAGGTATTGCTTAACAATGTTTCCAGTTTGACAAATCTGAGATGCTTGGCATAATGCGATCGGCTTGTAAAAGACATGGGATTCCTGACTGACCTTAAGGTTTATAATTATGATTGCAGCATGAGCTATATCCAGGATTTTGTTTAGAATCTGAGGCAAAGATACCCAATCCCTTAAAATATTCTGTCCATTTTTTCTCACTGTTGCTTCTCTACAGTTAATTACTCTCAGATTGATTGGCATGACTTTGTGGTGGTTGAGACAGTGGACTACCAGCCTGACGAGGAGGGCCAGTTCCCCAACCCTCTCAAGCCCAGCGAGATCGGGTCCAGGATCCTGGCAGAGGAGAGATACGAGCAGTTCGGGGTAAGATGTTTGTTTGTTTGTTTGTTTGTCTGTTTCACCTTACTGCTATTTAAAGAAAAGCATGTGTATGCTTGTAAGTTAGCAACCACGGGACCGATTGCTTTAAGTTCTCTTTGATGGACTTGATAATGAGGATTAAAGTCTGACCAAAGGGCACTAGCGCATCGACTTGGTTTCGAATTCGGGACATCCTGGTTACGAGACTACTGCACTACCACCGAGCCATAGCGCCTCATCGTACTCAGATTTGGTTTGGACGGGGGTGTGCCGCTGAAGCTTCAAAACCCCTACCCATGTTTAAGGGTCATTTTAGGGGGATTTTTCTTAAAGTAAAGCCCATTTTTCACAATGCAAAAAAAAAAAAATGAAATTTTTAAAAGCGGACCCATGTTAAGAGATTTTTTACAAAAAAGTGACCCATTAGAGCAGCACACCCCCGTATGTCTCAATATGTGAGTAACCCCCCCCCCCTGGATTATTTCCTCGGTCATTGGATTTAGGCTTACCCGCACACTATACATGCACATTATCCACTCCCTGGGGAGCATTCAATACTATAAATATATAAATGCAGTTAAATTTTAAACATTTATTTTTTGTCTTCCTAAAATGTATAGATTATTATTAAGATTTGTTTATTACAAATGTAACTATGTTTTGTATACATTTTACATTGTATTCATTATTATGTATTGTATTTTGTTGGAAATGAAAAAATAAAAATGAAATGAAATGAAAATGAAATCCTACCTTTACCAGAGGGGGTACAGAATGTAAAATCATTACCAGTTCTTAAATACACCAGTTTACAGTTGTGTGCGCCATTTTAAACAAAGCTATGACCTAGGAGTCATGTATTTATGCGTAAATTAAGATTGCGCCCATGCAAATAATGATGACATCACTGCCTGCGCGCTGCGTTGTGCGCGCACATCATCATTTGCATGGGCGCAATTTTAATTTACGCATAAATACCAGAGGTCAGAGGTTATTGGCCCCAATTTTGGGGCCAATGACCCGAGGTCAACTGTCTGCGCATGCGCACTGATACAACTGTAAACTGGTGTATTGACTTTTAACCTTATCTTGACCTTTGACCCTGTCTTGTAGGAGGAGCTCGCAGAAGATGAGGACGTTGAGATGGAGGTCGAAGACGATGATGAAGAAGAAGACGACGAAGATGAGGAAGAAGAGGACGAAGAAGAAGAGGAGGATAGGGTGAAGGACAAAGCGAGGGAGGAGAGAAAGAAGGATGAAGGGGAAGAAAGACCGAAAACCACAGATCTTAATACAGAGGTTCAAGACATGGAAGAAGGGGTAAGAGGAGCAGCCATTTTGCTTTTGTCCATTACAAGGCTAGATGATAGTGTCCCCTTTGTTCATAAGCCAGTTGAAGTCTGCCTATGAGCAGATAAGTTCATTTCTACAAAACTGGAAAACCCCATTGAGACAAATGCTGTATACGTGTTCATGAAAGTTTGTCTACAATCATTATTCATTTTAATATACACAAACGGTACATTCTGTGGAACATAGGTGGAAGTATTCTTCTCAAGAGGGCAAACAGAGTATTAAAAAACACCTCCATCACTTTGTCAGTGATTAGTCTAACATGTGCAAAGTGGGACTCTCCATGCATACAAGATCTGTGGATATCTAGAGTCATTTGTACCATGTGCTATTTCAGGGTACCCGAGGAAACCAGTTATTAAAGCCTTATCACTTGACACGCTGAATTACTTGTACTAAAAAAAAGCCTAGTGCACTTGACTTAACTATAATTTGTAATAAAATTTTTATAATGCAGCTTTACACCTACATGTATCTCGTAACTGCCAACCATTCCTGTTTTGGAGGAAATCCTAATTTTTGTCCTTCAAGCTATTCTTTTGAACCCGAGTTTTTCTGAAATATTCTGTGTGAAAAGTATACAATACAAAACAGACAGTATTCCTAATTTACTTTGAGAGATTCCAAATTTTTTGCTGTGAAACGTTGGCAGATATGCCATCTTTTGTTTTAAAGATTAAAAAAAAAAATCCTGGTGTATTGTCATTGTTGTTGGAATTGTTATTGTTTTTCCCATTGTAAACCTTTTCACTTGTTCCTGTATGTTGTCAGGAATGGTCACTAAACCCTGTTGTTTTATAATTAATTAGCCTTTGACCTCTGTTGATCTTTCACCTTCAGTCGGATTCTGACATGGATGAAAGCGATGAGGAGAAGGAGGCTGCCCCAGCGCCCCCCAAGGAAGTCGCCCCCATGCTCCCACCCCTCCCCCCTCAGCTGGGAGAGGCTATCATCAAGAAAGATTACAATCCAAAATGTAAGTTTATATTCTTTAACCCATTGATAGTCATGTACATGTTAATTTGCTTACGGTGCATTGCCATGTATATGTATATGTACACTCATGCCCATGTTCCCACTCCTCCCTCCTCAAGAAAGACTGTAATCCAAAATAAAACTGACATAGATTTCTACCTAGGCCTTGTTGAATAAAACTTGTCATCAACAACAGAAACGGGCACTGGAGCCCCTTCACACCTGGTGCCGTAAACTGCCTAAAGAAGACTGACAATTTAGCCAGCAAAATCAAATCAATTTATTTGTTAATGCACAAATGATGGAGGTGAAAAAAATAGCTGCATGCAATGAAGATCACTATGTGTATTTATCTACATGTACATGCATTTTTGAACATGCAGAAATTTGAAGTGCATTATGTTTATTCATCTTATTTTCGTTACAGGTGTATTTTTTTGCATTTTACCACTTTTTGCGTGAAGAGGAATTTAAGGAACGCTTCTCAACTTTTTATTCTTCCAATTATATTTGACTTGTAGTATATTTGAGCTTGAATATTCTTTGATCTTGTATTACATTGGACCCTTGTATTACATTTGATCTTGTATTATGTTTGACCTTGTACCTTGCAATACAAGGTCAAATGTAATACAAGGTCAAAGAATATACAAGGACAAATACACCTTATTTTATATTTGACCATGTTTTATATTTGGCACTTGTATTACATTTGATCTCGTATTATGTTTGACCTTGTACCTTGCAATACAAGGTCAAATGTAATACAAGGTCAAAGAAGATACAAGGACAAATACACCTTATATTATATTTGAGCTTGTATATTCTTTGACCTTGTTTTACATTTGACCGTGTATTACATTTGATCTTGTATTATGTTTGACCTTGTACCTTGCAATACATGGTCAAATGTAATACAAGGTCAAAGAAGATACAAGGACAAATACACCTTATATTAATATATTTGAGCTTGTATATTCTTTGACCTTTGACCTTCAGTGGCGAAGCAGGCCCAGGCGGGGGATACAACCAAGTACCTCATCTCCCCCATCACCGGAGAGAAGATCGCTGCAGATAAGATGCAAGAACACATGCGCATTGGTAAGCTGAACAAAGTTTAAAGTGACTCAGTAACATTGTTGAAGGTTGATGAAAAAGTTGCGTAATTTTTGTATAAAATGTTACTTATTAAATTCCTTCTGCTGTACTAACCCTCTGACGTGCAAAAGTTCCTGCACAAAATTCTCCAACCACAAAGATATCTATGGTTTTCTTTGAAGGCGTCACTGTGCAACACCCTCTAACAGTGATTAACAGTAAATTGTCCCAACCATTTTGAATTTTCCCAACCGATTTTCCATGAAAAAAAGACATAAAACAGGCTATTAAAAATCTGTCAACACTTAAATGTCTTTCTCTCATCTGAACAATGTTACCAAGTCCTTTCAGCCACTACGGTGTAAAACTCTGAAATTAAAACATTCTTAAGGCAGTAGATGAAGACAATTATCTCTCGATGTACTTCTGTGTTCTTCTTTTTTCTTGTCTCTGATCCCTAAAATGGGTTGCATTCCTCTTCTTTCTTTTTCTTCTGCTTCTCCTCCTCTGTCTCCTTATTATTATAATAATTTTGTATATTATTATTATTGTTGTAGTATTTTGATGTTATTACTGTTATCATTATCATTATGATTCTTATTATTATTGTTATTATTGCTTTTATTATTATTACTAATAATATTAGTAGGCCTATTGTTATTATTATTGATATTATAGAGTGGTGAAGTGTGACGTCATCAAAAATCTATTTTTGAAATTTCACAATTTTTTCTTCATTTTCCGAAAGAGCATCAAAAATAATGTCCAATTGTCGAAAACCACTTAAATAGGTTAAGTATTGGCCTATATATGACCATCTGAATAAAAAGATTGCCTATGGGAACTCAGTGTTATTTCTCTGGTTCATAACATTACGAGCCAGGGCATTATAACACTGAGTTCCTATAGGAAAACTATTTATTCAGATGGTCATATCTCAGCGAATACTTAACATATTCAATTGTTTTTCAACATTTAGACATTATTTTTGATGCTCTTTCGGAAAATGAAGAAAAAATTGAGAAATTCGAAAAATACATTTTTATGATGTCACAGCTTCGGTACTCTATTATCATTATTATTGTATTGATTATTATCATTGAGTTTGTTTTTGCCTTGTTCAGGTTTGTTGGACCCGCGATGGGTGGAGGAGAGAAGCCGTCAGATGTCATCCAAGGCTCAGGAGGAGGTCTACGCCCCTGGGCTAGCCATCGAGGAGAGTCTCAAGAACCTTGCCGAGAGGAGAACAGATATCTTCGGAGAGGGCGACATTGAAACACAGATCGGAAAGAAGGTATTTTTTCTCAAATACTATCATAATGGTAGAATAAAAGACAAAGTAGAGGTTGTACAGAATTCTGTAAAATACTCTCTACGCCCCTGGGCTAGCCATCGAGGAGAGTCTCAAGAACTTCGCAGAGAGGAGAACAGATATCTTCGGAGAGGGCGACATTGAAACACAGATCGGAAAGAAGGTATTTTTTCTCAAATACTATCATAATGGTAGAATAAAAGACAAAGTAGAGGTTGTACAGAATTCTGTAAAATACTCTCTACGCCCCTGGGCTAGCCATCGAGGAGAGTCTCAAGAACTTTGCAGAGAGGAGAACAGATATCTTCAGAGAGGGCGACATTGAAACACAGATTGGAAAAATGGTACTCACAACTTTCAGGGTTCAAGTCCCGCCGTGGCTTTTTTGTCCTTTAGCAAGACATTAATCTACATTTGCCACTCTCCACCCAGGTGTAATTTTGTACCTGATATGCTTGAGCGCTAGCTACTTTGGCAGCTTAGAACCAGGGTAATATGTGTACAGCGCCATGAGCGGAGAGTGGGGGGGGGGGGGGATGCACAGGGTGGTGGTTTTCTAGAGGCAAAGATATGACCCTAAAGAGTGTAAGTACAAAGATTTTTACTCAGAATTTTTTTTTTGCTTGGTGTGGAATTTCAAAGGCTAAGTATTGATCAAGGTGTGTTTTCTCTGAAAGGGTAGACAAGGTTACTTTTGATATTTCACCATCACTGCTATTATCTTCTTATTATTCTTGTTTATAGATTGGAGAAGAAGAAGAGGACGATAAGAACAAACAGAAGGTCATCTGGGATGGACACAGTGCAAGGTAAGATGTGTTTAAAGCTAATCTTGAGCTCTGGTATCTTAAAGCCTATCTTTACTAGTTTTACTAGTATCTTTACAAATTTGGATATGATATCAACCAGGGGGCCGTTTCTCGAAACCGTCATAACTACAAGATCAACGACATGTCGACACTGTCACGCAACTTGTCAGCTAAGTGTTTCACGAAGCCGTCTTTGCCAAGATGAGCGACAACTTCCGCGACAAGCGAGTTGTCACTGCTCCGAACCTGTCATATCTTTTTAATTGCTGTAAAGCGCCATCACAAGTCAGTTTGTTGCCATTCCATGGGCCGCGAAATGGACGATTAGTTTCACTATCATTTTGAGAAAAATATAGACAAGTTTGGTACGTAATTCTCTGGGATGTGAAATGCAAATGTACAAAAGTGAGAATAAAAATTATACAGAAACTTTAAAAAGCTGAATATAAAAATTAAATCACAAATCATTAAACTATAACATATAAATAAGAGAGGTAAGAATGTTACACACCGTTTTCCATAGTCGATCCATAGTCTTTTCTTAGGATACCGTCATACCTTTGGGGCCTATGTGCATTATTATTCCCTCTCTAATTACTTCTTCCAAATTATATTTTCAATATCAAATCAATTATATATCGAGTATTTATGAGACTCTAGAATAAAAACTGGCTGAGAAAAGACATTTTGCCTAAAATTCCTCGTCACAATAAACAAAAAAGTACGTATTGATAAACTATCACAGTACGGTATCCTTCAACTAACTTTTGATTCGACTGTCGAAAAAAAATACTCACGGGTTTTTCTTCAATTTAAGAATCTTTACAGAAATATGCAAATCGTTTAATGATGGAAATATGATAATGACCCTATTTATTATTTATTTTAGGATAATTTATATGTATATATTTCTTTTTGAACAATTTTAGCCCCAAAACTTGTTTTGGGTTATTCTTCATAAATCGAATGGATCGTGACAAAGACTATGTTCTTGAGCTGCTAGTATCGCGATATATCGATATCATGTCTGTCATGGCTTTGTGAAACGGTTTATCCACTTCATGACATCTCCGTAGGTCGGCGACAAAGATATGACTGTCATGGAGTTGGTTTCGAGAAACGGCCCCCTGGGTGCTGAACAGTTTTAAGCAAGTTTCAAGTCAGTTAGCATCATAATCAAATAAATATGGAGAAATATGTAGTTTGGTGCAATTCTTATTTTTGAAAAAAAATTGGTTAAATTTTTTTTCTTCACATTTTTGGCTCAAGATTGGTAAGCAAATCATCCCGAAACCTATTGAATGAGGTATCATCTTGTAGGAAATTGAATGGTCTTTCATATGACACCTTACACATGGTAAAATGAGGTGCTGTTAAAAAGTAATCCCCAGAATTGTACAACAGTAGTTATATCCAGTAGTATATTGCAAAGGTTGTCCACTTAGAAATTGTGCAGGGAGGTCCCCCGAACACGTTGAGACCATCCAACCTTTTACAACACGCCATGTCTCAAAACACCCAAATTTTGGTTTTGCCCCATAGGTATCACCTGTTTTTCAGCATTTTAAATTGCTGAAGTCAATATTTCACAAATATATCCGACATCAGTCTAAAAAGAAAGTTTAAATTCCAATGCCACTTCATTAATTAAGTAATCATTTCCACAAACTGTACAATTTTGACCAATGCTGTCGAGTCTCTTCTCTTTTCGTCATGAAAACAAAGCCAATCATAGTGGTCTGACTTCATTTATGATTCTTTGCAAAATTTTTCAGATGCACGACGAGAGAGAGGAAATGTTTCTACACATACTGCACTCATTTTTTATTGCATGAGTTGCAGCATGTATAGGAAATTAAGCTTTAAGATCTGTAAATTGGCAAGACGTTGAAAGATTCAAAATCATTGTTTTTTCGATCAAGTTTGCAATTTTTTTAACAATTGGACAACATTCTTGCCTATGTCATCATTTTCATATCATACAATTTTATCTTAAAAATGTAGCAATAAAAGAAGAATGATAATTGCTGCCAATTTGAAGAACAAAGTGATCAATTCAGCCCTACAAATATACCCTGTCCTGAAAGGGTTATTGGCTGGCTCTGTTTGATACGACTATGATATTTATGATTTTTTGCAGCATGGAATCGACTACGAGGAAGGCACAGGCAGGTATAACACTGGAGGACCAGATAAACGCTTTCCACAAATCAAAAGGACTTCTGTAAGTTTCCTTCTATTTTTTAAAACTTATGCTTATTTTCAAATAGTAATTATGATGATGATGATGTTTTTGGTACTGTTTACATACAGAATTATTTCAAAGTCATGCTAAACAATTGTTTTTCTTCCATTATTTTTGTTGTACTTGACAAACCAGATCTCAATAATTTTTATCCGTCTTTCTACGGGCGAACGGATAAGGATTATGAAGAAAATTAAGAATAACTTAAAACAGAGCACACAGAATTGAAGTTGGATCTGGGTTCCTTGGCAGCCCTATTTCAAGGGAGGGCGTAAAGATGCATTCAGTGAAATATTCCTAACTTCGAGGTCAAGTAGGGTCAGTTGCAAAACTCAGCTTCAACTAAGGTGACAATTATGAATTTTACTTCATTGTATTATTGAAAAATGTATAATTTTTCAATTATCTTCTGTTGTTCTTGACAGACCAGACAAGGAGAAGGAGCGCATCGGACCTCAGAAGACCAGGGACGCACCGCATCCTCCCAAACCACCCTCTCACCCTCCCAGGCCCACCCCGCCCATGGTCCCCTCCCTACCCCGCCAGGCCCCCTCGCATCCTCCCCCGATGCCCCCTCGCATGCCCCTGGTCCAGCAGGTGCCCATGGTGAGGGCACCTGCCGCGCCCCTGATGCAGATACCCTCCAGACCCATCATGAACCCCTTCCCGGGACCGCCCAGGATGGGCATGCCGCCCCAGGCTAGGATGCAAGGTAGGTGGAAGAGGATGTTGATGGTGGTGGTGGTGGTGGTGGTGGTGGTGGTGGTGGTGGTGGTGGTGGTGGTGGTGGTGATGGTAATGGGGGTGGTGATGGTGGTGGTAGTGGTGGTGATGGTAATGGGGGTGGTGGTGGTGGTGGTAGTGATGGTGATGGTGATGGTGGTGTTGGTGGTGGTAGTGGTGGTGATGGTGGTAGTAGTGCTGTTGGTGATGATGATGGTTTTATTGATGGTGATTGTGGTGCTTGTTAGCGATATACTTGTGACAATGGTGATAGTGTTTTGTAATGATGATGATGGTGGTGGTGGTGATAGTGATGATGATGATGACGACAGTACATGGATTGATAGTGATGTTGATGATGGTGATTATGATGATGGTGATGATGCTGGTAGTGATAATGATTGGTGATGAGGATGATGATGATGATGATGATGATGGTGATGAGGATGAGGATGATGATGGCGATGATGTTGATGAGGATGATGATGATGATGATGATGATGATGATGATGATGGTGGTGAACATGGTATTATTGATGGTGGTTACAGTGATCACAGAAAGACCGATCATCAAACATAATGACACAGTGTACACACCTAGTCAGTTGATTTAGAACCTCCAGACACAATTTATCACTTCTTGTACAGCCAAACCTGCTTTAGTGACCACCTGTCTGCAAAGACCACCTGTCTACAAAGGCCACATTTTGTTGTTTCCCTTGAAAATGGTTTCTCATTGAATCATGTACTAAAGGAACCTGTCTACAAAGGCCACTTTTTGTGTTTCCCTTGGGCAGTTGCTATAGACAGGTTTGACTGTAGTTGTACTGACAATTTGAAAGACACTCAGTAGTTAGCTCTCATGGGGAATTCAACACCGTTTGGGTGTTTACCCAAGAAGAGGTGCTGTCAATTACCAGAATTAGCCATAAGTTTTATGACCACCAGGCCTTATGTAGCGTACTGCGTTTTCCACCCATTCCCCCACATGGTAAAGTCATTATCTCACTTTTCCGTCTCCCGAAGACTCTTGATAGACGAGCGGGTATTTCTCGATTGGCCAACGGGTTTGCTGTGTGCAGGCCTAATACCTGTACACACATTAATGATTTTTATTATCCACCAAGTCTGCTGTCAGCGAATTATGGCCTTCTGCACATGGAAACTGACGAGTGACTCTCTTTAATATGTGACTTTTCCTCCTCTCTGTAGGTCCAATGGGAGGCCGCCTTCCCATGCCACCCCCTGGTCCCCCTCAGATGATGCGAGGGGTGCTACCGGACCCCCCTTCAAGAGGTGGCCCTCCGAGACCCGACATGAGCATGGACGAACCACCGTCCAAGAGGCAGAAAACGGAGGACGATCTCATCCCAGAAGAACAGTTCCTTGCTACACATAAGGTCAGTCAAGATTGTCATCTTCTCTTCTAAAGCCCCACTGTACTACTTGTAGCTACTTGCTCCCTCTATATAGAAAACAATGCCTAAGCGATGCCCGTTGGTCCCTCATGATCCTCTTTTTCTTATGTTAATTGAGAGCTGAGTTGATTAGATGGCCACCTGTCAGTGACCTCGCTGGGTGGTCTAATCCCCCTGTCCACACTAGTACAGATGGCCTTTAAGTTGGATTGCGATTTTGTGAGATTGCGTACAATCCCGAATCAATACTATGAAGAACGGAATACGTGACTGCCCTTGGGTCTACATTAAGCAGTAATTGATGATCAAATTCATCAATTATAATTTATATACAAATGCATTTTATAATTATTATTATCATTATTTGAATATGACCACCTGTCAGTGACCACGCTGGGTGGTCTAATCCCTCCTGGCCACACTAGTACAAAAGGCTTTAAGAAGTGGTTTCTTGGCCCATATTCTTGAAGGCCACCAAACTTTAGGCTAGGTTTAAAGATAAAGTTGAGTTGGGGTCATGTTTTCATAGTTTAGGAAATTCTCTAAATAATTAGGATGATTATCAAGTAAATAAAGACATGTGTCTTCTTTGAGGTTTGTGGTGTGTCCGCTGGTCTAAGAAAAGCCAGAAACCCTCAACATGCCTTAATCTCTTCTGTTGCATTTTATTCTTTCAATCTTAAAGCCTAATTGCATTGCTTTGGCCAGGAGGGATTAGGAGGGATTAGACCTCCCTGCATGGTCATCGACAGGTGGTTATCTCATCAAATAAGCTCTCAATTAACATAAGAAAAAGGGGACCAAGGGGTACCGATTAGGCACCGTTTGCCATATAGAGGGCACAAGTTGCGACAAGTAGTCAGAGCCATCTATACACAGAGATTGGCCAACCCGGTTAGAGTGGGGCACAATATGGCGACTACTGCTTTGTTGGGCAATCACATAACAAAAGAATGTACGCCATGTTATGACCCAGTGAAACCAAGTTGGCCAAACTCTGTGTATAGATGGATCTCTGACTACTTGTAGTGCAGTGGGGCTTTAAGAGTTCTAATTCTGTTCCAGTTCATGTCCTCTGTCTGTTCTGTTAGTTCAACACTGACAAATATGAATACATGTACCCTAAAACCTTTATACAATTTTTGGGAAAGTGAAACTTGTCCCAATTAGTTTTGCTAAATAGTTCTGTTCATTCATCTCGATCTCATTTAATTTACAGGGTTCTGTAATGTTCAATATTGTATTTCCACTAGTTGAGTGATGAAAGTGCCCTTTTCCCCTTACAGATCTGTTCATCTCCATCTCATTTTCTCTTCTCATTTAAAGGGATCTGGTAACTTTGTCTCAGATTATGAAATGAAATCTTGAAAACTGTTTGCCAAACGGTTTTCATAACATTACAGTCTATTGGGGAAAACGAGTTTGGTAAAACCGGTCACTCAAAGATTTTTACTTTTTTGAGGCACTTCATGATCATTTTAAAGTACAATTTTGTTGGGGCTTCAATGTTACACCATATCACAGACACTGATAACACGTAGGGCCGTGCATCTCAGACTTAACATTGTTAAACCAAGCATTTTTGTCATGTTCAATGTGGTCTGCCCATTGGTCCAAGACAAGCTGGAATGGAAGCTATCTATTTACATTATCTGAATACTCAAAAATTAGATATTATTATTATTATTGCTACTACAGTCTACTACTTAAGAATAAATACCCACCCCTAACCTTGACCTCATTCATTTGCTTCTTATTTAATCTGCAGGGTTCTGTTATGTTCAATGTGGTTTGCCCACTGGTCCAAGACAAGCCGGAATGGAAGCTGCACGGTCAGCGAATCACCCTCAACATGCCCCTGACCGATCAAGTGTCGGTCATCAAGGCTAAACTCCACGAGCAGCTCGGCATCCCTGCTGGAAAACAGAAGCTGCAGCACGAGGTGGGTCAAGTTTCCTTCATCGTAGACCATAGCAATGGGCATTTTCATACATACATGCACGAAAAAAATGTGTGATAGTACTGGAAAATATTGCTTGCTTTTGCATGAAAACCGTGTGAAAGTCTCGGTAAATCAAATGAATCACATGTGACCCCGCATGACCAATCATTTGATTAGGATCTAGGAGTGAGTTGTATAAAAATGCCAATTGCTATGGTCAAAAGCAGACATCAATGGTTTATACAGTCAAACCTGCTTTAGTGACCACCTGTCTACAACAAGCACATTTTTTGTTCCCCTTGAAAATGGTTTCTCATTGAAACATGTACTAAAGGAACCTGTCGACAAAGACCACTTTTTGTGGTTCCCTTGGGCGGTCGCTATAGACAGGTTTGACTGTACAACTCACGTTCATTCGTTCATCATATGATCAGTGTGGAATTGATTAGAAAAGATTGATCGTGTAGCATATAAGTATTGGTGGGTACTGCAAGGTTCTGGAGTCATCAAAATGATAAGAAATTTGGCCTAGTCTTGGTTAAGTAACAAGCACTGTACACAATGTAATGGACTACAAAAACATGTGGCATAAAATTCATGCCTCATTTTAAAGCTGTTACTTGTTATATTCAGAATATGAAGGCATTTGAAGAGCCGTGCTTTTCAGGGAACACATTTCTCTGATGTTCTTCCACACTTGTATAATAACAATGATAGCGCTCACAAATTACTTTTCACCTCTCCCAAGAACTCAACCTTATCTTTAATGTCTGATTTCCCTTTAATAATTTGAATGGCTGTGTGAATGAAGTGTACATTTCTTGTAATTGTTAGTGTTATTGTTTCAGTGGAACCTTGTGACCATGGAAATTACCTTGTTATATCATGAATCTTGTTATATCAGCGTACAAAAACAAAATAATATAAAGAGCTGTGACCAGCAAAATCACTTTGTTTTAAAGATAAAGATCAGTTCTGGTCATGCGATGGCATTGTGAAAGAAACGTTGTGGAATCGATCAGAAAAGGTTGATCATCAAGCATATAAGTATTGGTATGTACTGCAAGGTTCTTGCACCGTACACAGAAAGATGTTTTTGCGACTACGCACACGTACGCGACACGTGCGTTTTATCTATAATAATAATAATGTTTTATTTACCCAGGGTATCTATCACATACCAATAGATAAACTAATTTAGCTTATGTATCAATTAGTAGGCGGTTTCCCGGCAGAATTGTTATCATCATGTATTAATCAAAACATTTTCTTTCACATGATTGGTAATAAGAGCTTCCATTTCATTTTTTTTTTAAATGGGGCGTTTCCAATGAATACTAGTCTTTCCCTTTAACAGATACCTCATTATATTAGAGCCCTTTACAATGATGTTCCACTATATTATAATTATTGTATATTATCTTGAGTATTTATCTTTCTTTTATTCGTTCTTTCTCCGCTATTAAACAGAGCTTATTCATCAAGGATTCAAACTCGCTTGGTTTCTACAATTTCATGCACGGCACCGTCGTACAGCTCCAGCTCAAAGAGCGTGGAGGAAGGAGACGTTGAGGATACCATACTTGCTACTTTTTATCAAGTCATGGAAATTCTTATAAGAGGACTGTTTAAAGACACCATACTTGTTAGTGGTTCCTCATGAGTAGACTGTTTTAAGACACCATACTTATTTAAGATTTTTACAATACCTTTGTACCACCCCCCAAGCAAAGATAATAGAGTGTTGAGACCATTTCACCTGCTATTCATCGCCAAGTTTGTAGAAATTTATCAAGTTATGAAAGTTCTTATTAAAGGACTGTTTAAAGACACCATACTTGTTAATGGTTCCTTATGAGTAGACTGTTTTAAGACACCATACTTATTTAAGATTTTATAATACCTTTGTACCTCCTCAGACGTAATAGATAAAGGAGTGTTGAGAGTACCATACATTCTTCTTTTCATCATCATCAAGTCACAGGAATTCTAATGACCTGTTCAAGGACTTTTTAAGGACACCATACTTATTTACAAGTTCACAATATCTTCTTACCACTTAAGCAATACACCAGTTTACAGTTGTATCAGTGCGCATGCGCAGACAGTAGACCTCGGGTCATTGGCCCCGGAAGCGGGGCCAATAACCTTTGACCAGTGGTATTTATGCGTAAATTAAAATTGCGCCCATGCAAATGATGATGTGCGCGCACAATGCAGCGCGTAGGCAGTGATATCATCATAATTTGCATGGGCGCAATCTCAATTTACGCATAAATACATGTCCTCTAGGTCATTTGCTTTGTTTAAAATATGGCGCACACAACCGTAAACTGGTGTATTATGACAGAGTGTTGAGGAGACCATTTCATCTGCTCTCCATCACCAAGTTGAAGAAATTATAATGAGCAGACTTTTTGGCCCGAATTCACAAAGGAGGTTTGTCGACAAACCTTGGTTTTCGTACGTCATATGACGCGTTTTACGCGTTTTTTACAAACCTGGTTTGTAAAGAACAAAAGGAGATTTGGCGAAACAAAAGGAGGTTTGAGCTCAAACCTTGCTTTGTGAATTCGGACCTTTGAGGACATCGTACTTGCAGATCACTTTTACGTACCGGTACATAATGATAATAATTAAACATTTTTTTATAGCGCATTCCACACAGGGATGATTGTATGTCTCTATGCTCTTAACAGAACAGTATACAGTAGGAATGGAATTCATGGTGCACTTGTTCCACAATTGTGAGATCCTACAAAGTACTAAATGGATTATGTTTTCAAATTACTTCTGAAATTTGTGTCTGTTTCTACATGTATATTACTAAGGTTTTCAGGCATGTTATTCCAAATAGGTGGCTGCATATGAAAATGACCTTTCCCCATAAGATTTTGTCATAGTGTCTTTTTTTTTTGCACAAACAGTACACATCTATCTATTGACGGAAGGATTGCTTGGTGCAACACAATGCCAATGGCTTTACAAAATTACCAATTTCTTTTCTTTGTTTAGCTATATGGCAACCTCCCTCCCCCCTCCTCCCCCTCCCCCTCCCCCTCCCTCCCCCTCATCCTCCACCGGTATAGATTAATCTTGCACTGGAAAAAGTTAAATAAAGTTGAAGCCTACAGTATACCTATGTGACACGGAGATTAATTGTGCAGAATATAAAGTGTTAAGGCGAGGCGTCAAAAATAAATATACCAGCCAGCGGCAGCTAACTGCACTTGTGCGTCCTGGCTGCATTTTTTAAATTAGCTCAGCCGGCTACCGCTGGCGGTAGGACCCTCAATTAACTCATGATGTCATCATAATGGTCTCCGAACAAAAGCATGCGCCGGCTGCCGCCTTTCGAATGGAAACCGAGCCTCAGATCCCAGCCTGGCGCAAGCCGGCTGGGCTAATAAGTGAAAAATAATTGCCCCAGCCAGGCTTCGGCCGTAATTGCAGCCTCGATGCGCCAATACGTGAGGCGGCAGCCTGCTGGTATCGATATTTTTGACGCCTCGCATAACATTATTACCAGAAATTTCTGATATGTTGCTCTCAACGATTTGTACAAGATTTCAATATAACAAGGCAATTTGATTTTTAGTCCAAAGAAGTTCATGTAGTGGTTACAATGCCCAACCAATTGAGGCTTTATGCTTGCACGACAGAATAAGACAGAATAAGACAGATTACCCAGTTTTTGCTGCACAATAGATTAAGAAAGATTCAAAGATTACCCTGTACAGTAGAACCTCATTATACAGTCAAACCTGCTTTAGTGACCACTTGTCTATAAAGACCACATTTGTCGTTTCCCTTGCAAATGGTTTCTCATTGAAACATGTAATAAAGGAACCTCTCTACAAAGACCACTTTTTGTGTTTCCCTTGGGTGGTCGCTATAGACAGGTTTGACTGTAACAAGCTCTGATATAATAGGTACATGTACATGTATCTGTACAAGATGATTTTGCTGGTCCCAGCTCTTTATATACATCTTCTTTTTTTTCTTATAACAGGGTAATTTTCATAGTCCCTCATAATAACGAGGTCCAACTGTATAACTAATCTTCAGGCGTATTGACAAATTGACTTACTACTGTTTGCTTCACCTTGCATTGTTTGGATAGAGATAAACTCTGTTGAAGACTGGATAAATTAAATACCTGTAGGCTAAGCAATGTATACTGGTAGGATCGAGGACAATGTGTTTGTGAAATAAATGCTGTTCTATACAGTCTAGTTTATGTAAAATGTGTAACTTGTTTTTGAACTATGTAAATTAAGGCCTTTTTTCTCATGAATAAAATCTGGTATTTTCTGGACACTGCTTTCTGGTCCCTGTTTTCGTTTTGCTTTGTGTACATGGGTTATATGGTAGTTTTAACATTTACTTTAACAGCTGGCAAGAGATACAGTTTAATTTATATATATTTATTTTATTGACAAGTTTCAAAATATAATCTTGAGTTTCTCACAGCAGTTCACATTTTAAACATGATGTGCTGTGAATTACAGGTAATTTCTCTGAATATAAAGGATAAAACAGTAACATTCTCATCATATTAAATCACATTCAAACTGATTAATGAATACATCAAATATGTAATATCTGCCGAGAGGATAATTGAGTATAATATGCATGATGGATAAAATTATCTAGTCCCATTTGCATTGCTTTTGATGAATCTGATTGCAATTCTTTTCACTTGCGTCTAATAGAAACCAATCATCCATCATATCATCCCCATATCTTTGGCAAAATAAAAACTGGAGCACATTTCTGGTAACCCCAAATTAAATTTTGTCTGATCAAGTGACAGCACAGTTAAGATCTAGCTGTTCTCGACAGACTTGCTAGGCAGTGCCATTTGTAACTGAGTTCGTTTAAGCTCAACATTCGTGTACCGTGTAGCATCAGTGTCACTGTTGGAGGAAGCGTATGCTTAGCACAGATTGAAAATGCCTGTTTGCAAGATGTCACTGTCGAAAGGCGCTCTGTAGCCCATACCATCACCGACAAGTTCACAACTTGACATGCACATCATTTCCATCACTGGAAAGTTGGCATGCACACAGATCAAAGTTCATCAGTTTATCATCAATTATTGCAAATTACAAACATTTTCCTCTCCTACATATAATAAATTGTTCATTCTACGCAGGCACTGCCTCAAATACAAAAATAATCTGCACAGTTTTGTGAGCTATTCAGCTAGCTAAGAAGGCCGGAATCTGGAGCGGATGTTGCGATGACTTTCTGAATCTGTTTGAATTTGGGATGGGCGATTATTGCAAATTACAAACATTTTTCTCTCTCTCCTACATATTATAAATTGTTCATTCTATGTAAGCACGGCCTCAAATACACAAAGTTCCTCCACATGGTTTTGTGAGCTATTCAGCTGAGAAGGCCGGAATCCGGAGCGGATGTAGCGATGACCTTCTGAATCTCCTTGAAATTCGGATGTGCAGCATCCTTGACCATCTGTAGGATGATAGCCTCGCTGGTCGTAATGAAAGCTCCACAGTCCCGCAGCCTCTCAATCGCATACATCCTAAAACAGTAAGAATGGTAGAAATCACAAATAATAATAATAATATTTAATTTTTATATAGTGCTTAGAGACCGTCAATACTACTGGGCCAGAAGGGATTAGACCACACAGCGAGGTCACTGACAGGTGGCTATCTCATTAACTCAGCTCTCAACAAACATAAGAAAAATAGGATCATGGGGGACCAACAGGCACCGATTGGGGAAGTTTTCTATATAGAGGGAGCAAGTAGCTACAAGTATATAAGACAGTGGGGCTTTAATACAAATGTATAATACAAGCGCTTTACAAATATACCGGTACTATTACCCCGGTCATTGGATTCAGTGCGCCCGCACACAGTGTGCACAATCTGCACTCCCTGGGGAGCATTCCAGCCAGGCGTTACTTGACGCTCAAAAACTGTTTGACCAACAATGACGGTCGCATCCTACCGGGTACCCATTTGACACCTGGGTGGAGAGTAGCAAGTGCAGGGTAATATCTTGCCAGAGGATATTAGTGCCGTGTCGGGATTCGAACCCTCGACCTTCGCATCTCCAGTCAAGCGCCTTAAACCAATCGACCATGAAACTCCCACGACAAATGACAAATGTATGCAAAATACGCAGGTTATCTAACATTTATGCAAGCAGAAAATCGCAAACTTATGTTTCAAAAAGCCTCTATTCTTTGCATTTTCAAAAAATTAGTCCATAATCGATTACAGATTGAAAAGTATCGTAACGACCGAAAGATATGCATTTTTGAAAACACTGTTATTTAAGAAAACAAAACATGCTTTATTTGAATTATTTGAATTATGTAAGGATACTACGATGTTATTTCAATTGATTGTGTATGATTGTTTGATTTGTTAGCATATATATTTATCAATAGATTCATTTTACAAAAAACAACAAAAACAAACAAATTGAAGAGAAATTGCAACTTGCGAATATCACTCTTTTGTGAATTTCATGACAGCAATTATAGTTTTCTTCAGCTTTTTTTTTTATCACAGCCACAGGTCTTACAGAGATGTTTAGAGCTTTCAAGAGCTGAATTGCTTGCCAGTTTATTTAGTTCTTTTTATCTCTCATTGGGACACTGTAAACATGTATTATTAACGATTTCATGAGGAAAATGAAACTCTTAAAAGTAATTCAAAGTTTGGGGAAATGTTCAAAAACTGGATGGATAGTAAATTAGTAATTCTTTAAAATGTTGATATATTGGGAAGCCCAGCTGTGGATGTATTATAAGCATTTGGGAATTTAGCCCCTAAAACACTTCTGCTTTTGAGAAATTGAATAATCAAAATTTACTGTTGCTCCAGGTAAATTTCTAATATTTTAAATAGCGTCTGAGGCCATTCCATGTAGCTGCGACCATTACAATCTCAGAATATGCAGTTCTGATATAGTTTCCTGAGATATTCATCTCTTGCCTTTTCTTTGTGTCTAAATAATGGTTATTTTGAAACGAGACAAACAAATATTGTTTTTGTACTGAAGAGACAGACATGGGGGTGACAGAGTTAATAGAGAAGGAAGGAGAAAAGGAGAGAGAGAGAGAGAGAGAGAGAGAGAGAGAGAAACATAAGATAAAGAGAAACATATGGAGAGAAAGATGAAATTGTAAATTTGTAAATAACATGAATTCTATAACGGGCCTTTGCTTTGATACTGAGAGGAAAATAAACATTTACATGCAGACAGTGAAGGAGAAAGGGAGGGAAAGAGGGAGAGAGAGAGAGAGAGAGAGAGGGGGGGGGGGTATTCTTTATTAAAATCTAGTGTTAGTTATACCTGTCTACCATGGTCCTCGAAGAGCAGGCATCGGCAACAACATGAACTTCATAACCTTTCTCCAAGAGGTCAAGGGTCGTTTGCTGGACACAGACCTGGGTCTCTATGCCACACAGTACTACAGTCTTGGTGTCATTTTCCTGCAAGAATGAACAATACATTAAAGCCAATGGGTGGTATTCTCGAAAGCGGACTAACTTTAGTCCATGGTTTAGTCCTCCGACTAAATATGGAATGCCAAGTGTCCATATGAATATGTCTTTGGATAATTTAATCTGTCACTAAATTAAAATAAAATGTAATAGCATAATTAATAAACAACAATGTAACTATGAAATAAGTATGTTATCATGGTAATTTAGGGACATATCAAATTATTCAAAAATATATGCTCATGGACACTTGGCATTCCATACTTAGTCGGAGGATTAAACCATGGACTAAAGTTTGTCCGCTTTCAAGAATACCATCCAATGGGTTGTCAGTTTCTAAGTGAAGAAGGACATAATTCGCTGACAGACTTGGTGGAAATACCATTAATGGGTGTACAAGTCTGCACACAGGGCATTAAAGCTTGTTGGTCATAAACTGATGGATAATCCTAGTCGCAGAAATTCCGATTGGCAGCTGTTGAACAATTTGTGTGGAGCTTTGGAGTATATACCAATATCCCCTTCTACCCTTGATCTCTATTTATTCAAGTATATCGATCTGTATCTGAGAACCAGGTAGAATTGCTCATTGTACAGTTTTATTCCCATTGATTTTACACGATGTAGTATATTTCACATCCATTTTAACAATATAGTAAGTATTTTAAGTTTACTTTTCAAAACAATTATTGAAAAATAACTTCGTGGCACAAATGAATTTTAAAGGATTAATCCCCTTTAATCCTTTCACGGCAATCATTCCAAAATTTGTGGTTTGGCACAATAACTTTTCATTCAGAGCCCTAGAAAATAGAGAAGAATGCAAGAATTTCTGCACATACTGCATCCTTTTTTGTTACATGACTATCTTACTTTAAAATGCACAAATTTATAAAAGAAAAATCAGCTTTAAAATCCATAAATTGGAAACTCATTGTAAATTTCAAAATCATTGTTTTTTTTATCACAGTTGGCAATTTTTAAACTTTTCGGCAACATTCCCCCCTTGTGTATGATTTCCAAAGACATTGTATTTTATTCTATCATTATAGCGATAAAGGAAAAATATTGTTGCCAATTGGAATAATTCTGGTCCTGAACTTGAAGGCTGAAAGGGTTAATTAACAAATGCATACCTTTAGTTTCTCCTCCACTTCAGGTAGAACCATGGTGAAACATGTTTTAGGGTAGATATTGACCTCATCACGGTTGATACCCAGCTCCTTCACGGTCGGACCAAGACCTGCACGACAGGTTCAAAGGTCATGTTTTAATTTTTAAAAAAATCTTAATTGTCACCGTTTTGGACTTTACATGTTTAACATTGTTGAATTACAGCCCACTTTGATGGATTGTGGTGTGACCATTATTCGTGTGTGACATAAGTTCGCTATCTCATAAAATCGGTAAGATTTTGAAAATCTGATATCACTATAGTATAGACCTATAAATGGAAAGAGGAACATTCAATTACCCAGAGATGAAATTTTGCAGTCATTGGCATCCGTTCATCTTTTTAAAACCTAACGATAAAACTCTGGAAATCTTCATTTTGAGAGCAGCCATATCCTAGATCCTCAACATTTTAAGTAAAAAGTTGTACCAAGCCAAGGCAAATACTTATTACTTGCCTTGCAAATTATGAAATTACATTATTAATTATTTTTGATGGATCACATATTGTGATAAATCAGCTGTATAAAACCTGTGCCCCGAGTAATGTCTTTTTGTTTTAATGACTTTTTTTTAGATGTAGCTCACGAATCTCAGATCGCGCGATGTCTCCGGAATCCTTGACAATGAATTTTCTAATTGGTTGAATCCTTGAACTCTTTGCTGCATCTCCATTTGGTGTAAAACTAATTAAAACAAATAAATTTTATGTAGAATATGAGAAATTATAGATCACATTTTCTAATATTTTCAAAGTCTCTGTGAACTTTGGTCACCCCTACTACAAGTTTCAGTGTGGTGTTTTGTTTGAAGTAAATATTCCCAAATGAAGTTAAGATCATGCAGCCCCTAGCTCACGTCACGGTGCACGACTGCTTTTCAGTTTTTCAGTTTCAGTTTATTAAAAAATACATGGCATAGTAATCATGACGAACAAACATGATCCAAATTGAGACCCCAAAAAGCAATGCTTGTGAGTGGGGCCCCTTTGGAGGATGGACATCTTAATCCCAGGGGATTGGCAAAGAGACTAACGTGTTTCAAGGATCTGCGCAATTCAAAACATGAAAGATGGTAGGATACGATCGATCATAGATACGATACAGTCTCACGCGCGCAGAGCCCCCAAAACAAGCAGGTCCCAGAGTCCGCCAACCGAGATCAAGAAGTTCATTTACAACAACAAGAAAACATGGTAATTTACACAAATTATTACAAGGAAATGGCAAGGTTGTGTAACTTAAAAACATATTTACAAGGAAAAAAACATGTATTAACAATAACTGATTACAAGGTTATATAAATTTAAAACATTTACAAGGAAAAAAGCTAAATCACTGACAACATCATGAACACCCTTTTAATTTATTTAGACTAGACTACCGGAAGATCAAGATCATCTAGGCCTATCTATACTCTCATATCTCAAAATCCTAACTAGATACGGAAAAACCAAACAAGTAAATACAGAAATGCAATATAGATTCTATGTCATAGTCAAACCATTACCTGGACAGCAACCATATTCTATGTAGATCTTATAGTTACATTGTCATTACACAATATTGCTCTCTTCATTTTTATTCACCTTTCGGATACTGTTCCGTCACAATCACAGGAATATCAAGAATTCTGGCTGCTCGAAAGAGTCTCGATGAAACCTCCACAATCTCTGGAAAGTACTTGATCATAGGTCGAAATTTCTCCTGCATGTCACACAGGAAAAGCGACGAGTTCCGAAGAACAAGTTTGCCAAGATTCTTGCCAGCCATTTTGACAGGTAGATCGACGATGAAGCTACGGGATCATGAAAAGTGCCAACGGGAGATTTTCGGGGGAGTTAACTAGTGTGAGAGCCTAGTCAGGTGAACTATTATATCCAGGGGTCGTGGACGATTCGAAAATTAAGAGGGGTGCAGAGAAAAACAAAGTAGGCCCTATTTAAATGTAAATCTAAGAATAGCTAAATTAATATAAAGGTAAATAAAAGGATTTTTTAATCTATATTTTAGTAATTCAATTTTTCAAATTTTGTGAAAAAGTTTCGTTGCAAGCTAAACTCAAATTTATCACGGATTAAATCACCCCTACATCCATTAGGATTTGAACTGTGCTTGAAATATTGCGTAACAGCTCAGTACAAGTCCGTCCGATTTCGGAGCTGAGTAACGTAACTTAACCTTCAGAAAGTGTTTTCTTTGCTTATTCATTCAGTTCTCCAGTGTCACTATGCCCTTGTTTATCCGTCATCTACCGAAAGATGACACGAAAAGGCTCAATTTTACGGGATTTGTCATGGTAGCAGCCGTGTCATTTTGCATTGTGAGCAGTCTCCAGCCCCGACAAGCCACGGCATCCAGCCCTGATGCTCCGGGTGGCAGCTCTGCTCCGGTGCCGTTGGAGGCCGAGGAGGAGCCTACTCGTGGGAGTGTCGTTAACATCATTGTGATCGGTGGAACAGGAGATCTGTCGACGAGATATCTGTGGCAGGGATTTTTCAATCTAATCAATGGTGAGCATATTGATTGTTCATCATATCAGATGTCTTTTAGTTACAATGAATTAGAAGCTATTGATTTCATCATCATGAAACACATATTTTATTGTCTGACAATTAATTGTGAAGCCGAATTTATAGGCCAAGGCCACAGAAGTTTATTTTTAAGATGGGATGGAGAGTGAGATAATGATATTATCTACTTGTTTTTGAGAAACTAATTATGACCATGATGTCTTTGGCCCATAAAATGAAATAAGAAGATACATGATTTTCCCCCGTGAAATTCAATTGCATCAAAACGTTATATGCAATTTTTCAAGGAATAGACCACAATTGTAATGTACGTAATTTGATTTCTTAAAATTAAGGAATTGAACCGCAAAATGAATGCAATTTTCTTATTTCGAATAGAATCTTAAGTATTTTTTTGTAACAATTGTTGTTGATATCTTAAGATAAAGAGGATCATGGGGGACTAATGGTCACTGATTAGGTATTGTTTTTATATAGAGGGAGCATACAAGTAGTACAGCAGGGCTTTAAAGAATGACCCATACATGTACCAGATGGTTGTTTTTGTCTATTCCATTCATTGCTTTCCATGTTAATAAAATAATTGTGTCCCATATTCAATTCTCTGTTTTATAGGAAGCCAGTGAAGTGCAATAAGTGTAGGGGTAATGTTTGTAGCCTTAACAAGTATGTAAAAGCAAAAATTCAAGTATATTTTAGACATTTCATAAATTCCACAACAAGAATATGAATATTATGAATCTCCTTGATAATAGAAAATATGAATTATTTGAATCAACATTTTATGCCTTTTAAATTAACTTTTACAAAATATTTTCAAAGATGCTAGCGGCATTCCATAATTGTTAAGTCCAACTTTAATAGAGATAAGTTTGACTTAAAATCTTTGTGACCCCCCCAGTCATTAGATTTAATTGTTAGTCCCCAAATGATAGTGCACATGCTCAGCTCCCTAGAGAATATAACTAACAGGTGCCATGTTATAAGTGGTGAAACACTCTTGCTTTAACTTTCCCTCCTTGCAAACAATATACTAGTTCACTAACATGTTAAAATATTATGCATATACTCTTAAAACAAAGGCTGTTCCTGACAATCTGAAAGCTTTCCCAAGGTTTTCCCCACATAGCAACAAGTAATTTACTAATTAATTCCAGGTTAATGGAAAAACTTGTCAACTAAGGATCTTTTTGAAACACCCTCCTTGTCTTTTATCCAAGATGGAGAGCATGAGATGAAACTCGTCTTAGATAACCCTGCACCAAGCTCCAGCACCAAATTTGCTTTTTGTTTATTCTCTGTGTACTTCCATTTTATTTAATTTAAAAATAATAACAATAATTATTCTCAGTTTTTATAAGCGCTTCCAAACTTGGAGATTATTACCCCCTCTTTAGCTGTGATGGCATTACGGCGCTCTAGCATCTAGCATCTCAAAGAATTTATTCCTGCCAGGTACCCATTTACATCACCCGGGTTGAGTGTGGCTAATGTAGATCAATGTCTTGTCAAAGGATGAGTGCCGCGGCAGGTCTCGAACGGCTGACCTTGTGATCAACAGTCATGCGACTTAACCACTTGACCATGGCACCTCTATCTGACACTATTTTGTCTTTCTATTTTCCTTCATCTTTCATTTTGTTCTTCTATTTTCCTTCATCTTTTATTTTGTCCTTCTATTTTCCTTCATCTTTTATTTTGTCTTTCTATTTTCCTTCATCTTTTATTTTGTCTTTCTATTTTCCTTCATCTTTTACTTTGTCCTTGTCTTTTCCTTCATCTTTTATTTTGTCTTTCTATTTTCCTTCATCTTTTATTTTGTCTTTCTATTTTCCTTCATCTTTTATTTTGTCTTTCTATTTTCCTTCATCTTTTATTTTGTGCTTCTTTTTACCTTCATCTTTTATTTTGTCCTTACTATTTTTCTTCAACTTTCATTTTGTTCTTCTATTTTCGTTCATCTTTCATTTTGTCCTTCATATTTTCCTTCATCTTTCATTTTGTTCTTCTATTTCCCTTCATCTTTCATTTTGTCCTTTTATTTGTCCTTTCCAGAAGAGAAGAACCAAGCCTTTCATCTCTATGCAGGATCTAGGATGCTTCAAGAAGATGGAGAGAAGGAGATGAAACTCATCTTGGAGAGGAATGTATCGTGTAGCAAAGTCCCAGCTTCAGTTGCCATGACACCAGAAGAGTGTGAGGTAAACAAACCTGGGGGGTGTTTCACAAAGATCCCAAGTCGAGCTTAACTCTTAGTTGGACTAGTTGGACTTAAATATTATGGAGAGCCATTTGTAGCCTTAAATAAACTATATTACAAAATGAAAATTCAAGTATTTTAGACTTTTTATAAATTCCACATTAAGAACATGAAATCTCCTCGATAATAGAAAATATGAATGATTTGAATCAACATTTTATGCCTTTTAAAATAATAATAAAGAACTTTTACAAAATATTTTTATAGATGCTAACGGCTTTTCATAATGTTTAAGTCCAACTAAGGATCTTTGTGAGACACCCCCAAAATCATGTAAAGTGTGAAGTGAAAACACCCTCTCTATCAATATTGTGACAGCCCTGTCTGTCGAAGCCTTTTGTCTCCAATTGACGAGAGACTGCAGCTACTGTAGAGCCAATGCTGGTTTTGTTTATTGCACCTTGTAAATTATTGGCTCATGCATCCTACCCTTATGACACACTCTTTACCAAAGTTCTGCAAGAATCTTCCAGATTGAAGGCAGCAGACTGCACTGAAGAAGAAGAAGAAGAAATTCACCATTTAAAAAATGTGACACTGACATACAACTACAACAGCTAACAAACCGGATCGATGCATAGATAAATATCAGTTTTAAACAAATTGATTAAAAAAAGGTTTGACGGAATAGTTCACGGAAATAGTACAATTTCACCTTTTATTCCACGCTGGGACCTGTCAAATGTCAGTGAATGTTATCAAAAGTTTGTTACCCTGGCCTTTATATGCAAAACTATATTTATAAACAATGAATAATTTCCCACTTCTGGAACCCCATGGAATGACTAATGCATGAATAAGCCAGTTCATAGTTGCAGTCTGAGCATGAGCAGATTGTGAAAGACAAAATAAAAAAAATAAAAAAAATAATAGCCTAATAGTCCACTCCAAATTTTATTAAACCGAAACGGAAATTCTTTTTGCCCAATTGATCGTGAGCCCGGCAGCCACTGAGCAGCGCCAGATCGACGTTGCTCTATCCCTTACTGTTGAACGCCAAACAAGGTAGCAACAACTCCCATCTTTTAACGTCTTTTGGTATGACGCGGCCGGGGTTCGAACCCACGACCTCCCGGTTGGATACATGCTCATAAAAGTTATGTTATCATTATTCATTCACGCACAATCAGAGCAGGCCATGATACACAGGTGGAAGTATTCTTTGAAAAGGGGAAACAAAGGCTATTTATGTACACCTCCATCGCTGTAGGAGTGATTATTTCAAAATATACAAGGTGGGACCTCTTCATGTTTTGAAGATCTGTGGATATTCAGGGTCATTTGGGATGTGCTAACCGTGAACTGGTCTATTGTGACACAGTACCAGTGGAGGATAGTGGAGTCTGGTATAGGCTATTCAAAATCATTGTGAAAGGCATGGAAAAACATAATAATAATAATGGTGGCTTCTTTAATATATAGCGCACATGTCCATCATGTTGTGACGCTCCTGGCGCTGCCCCGATTATTACCCTGGCTTTAGCAAGGCAGCCACTGCGGCGCACTAGCATTTCAAGGAATTAATTCCTGCCAGGTACCCATTTACATCGGTTACTGATCTAACTACCACCCTAACCTTTGACCTTTGACCCAATTTCCTTCCACCTTTTCACATGGAAATGTTGACTTTTGTCTTTCACTCAGAGAGCTAAGGAGGTGTACAAAGAAAAGGTCACTTATCATATGCTGAAGAAACCAGAGGACTACGTTGTTCTGTGCAGCAATATCCAACATACGATGCGGTCTGTGGGACTGAAGGAGGCCGGCAGGATCTTTTACTTCTCGGTACCTGCCTTTGCCTATGAAGGGATTGCAGAAAACATCAACAAAGGTACTCTTGTAGCCTTTTAAAGCCAAACTGTACTACTTGTAGCCTTTTAAAGCCACACTGTACTACTTGTAGCCTTTTTTTATAAAGCCACACTGAAATACTTGTAGCCTCTTAAAGCCACATTGTACTACTTGTATCTACTTGCTCCCTCTATATAGAAAACTTCCCCAATTGGTGCCTGTTCCCCCATGATCCTCTTTTTCTTATGTTAAGTGAGAGCTGAGTTGATGAGAAAACCACCTGTCTAGTGACCTTGCAGGGTGGGCTACTGTCATCCTTTTCCCTGTTCAAAATTATTTACCAACCCTGTCTAAAATGCAAGTTTTTTATCCAGGCTCTATGCAAATAGATTCTGCCCTACTTAGAAGTTAGTGCATGAATTTGAATATGTTAGTAAACAGGTCTTTTCTTCCTTTATACCATGTTTTGCAGTACTTTAAGAGATTTTTTGTTTTTGTTTGCCAGTGTGTCGTCCAGCAGGTGATGCCTGGCTGCGAGCAGTTTTGGAGAAACCTTTTGGACATGATACAGCATCGGCCAAGAAGCTGTCTAGCGCCCTCAAGGAACATTTAGCAGAGAATGAAATCTACAGGATTGATCACTACCTGGGCAAGACTGGTAACTATGACATACTTTTAATTGTTTAAAGAGAAGGTTGAGTTCTGGGAAGAGTTAAAATATTATTTGATAGCATTATCATTGTATTATGCAAGTTGTTATGATATGCGATATCCGAATATCCGGTATCCGTCGTAGTTCAATAAACAACATGTCAACCATCACAAACCTGACTGCCGACTCGTATATTATCATGAGTATCTACCAATTCTAAGACCCTCAAATTCATCAGAAGAACATCAGGTAAAAAATGTTCCCTGAAAAACATGGCTCTTAAAATGCCTTAATATTCTAAATATGGCATATATATAAAATCATACCAATCGGACAGATTTTTATGCCATATGATCTTGTAGTCCCGTATACATGTACATCTTTCTGTGTACAGTGCTTGTAACTTAATTACCAAAACTGGGCCAAATTTCTCATCATTTTGATGATTCCAGAACCTTGCAGTACACACCATTACTTATATGCTAGATGATCAACCTTTTCTGATCGATTCCACGTTTCCTTTCACAATGCAATCGCATGACCATAACTGGTCTTTATCTTGAACCACTTGACTGCTAAGCACGCGCTATTACGTGCATGGAGATGTGACACTGTGGTGGTGGTGGTTATTTTACCTGACTGCTAAGAAAGCATAAATGCTTGTAAGTAAGCAACCAGACGGCCGACGGCTTTAGGTCCTCTCCGAGGGACCCGGTAATGAGGATTAATGCCTTACCAAAGGGCACTAGCGCATCGCCTTTGTTTCGAGCCCGGGTCACCGGATTACAAGACCACTGCTCTACCGACTGAGCTATTGCGCCTCCTCTGTGCTAAGCACGTACTATTACGTGCTACGTCCTCTCCATATTCTAATTGTAAGCACCTGAATATATAACTTTAGAATATGAACAGTAGATGGCGCTCTTTCACAAAAAGAAAATCAGAGATGTGAGTTGTAAGTTCAGATTTCTGTGTGTCCCAAATGCCTTAGCACAGAGTGGTAGGCCTACAGTGTGAAAAAAGCCTGTAGCGGTCAAGTGGTTAAGGAAGAGGAGGCACAATGGCTCAGTGGTAGAACAATGGGCTCTTAACAGTGAGGTCCTGGGTTCGAAACTAAGTCAATGAACTTGTGCCCTTTGGAGAGGCATTAATCCTCATTACAAAGTCCCTCTGAGAGGACTTAGAATTGTCGGTCCCCTGGTTGTTTACTTACAAGCATGTACACCCTCTCTCAGCAGTCAACTAAAACAATAATTGATAATGATCTTTATCATTGTTTTGTGAAACTGTCTGATCGAAAGAATGCAAGGGAGCACATAGAAAGGTTGGATCAGGGGGGCGTTTCACAAAGCCTTTTTTCAATGACAAATGACAGAATTCAGGAGGAGGTGGTAAAGAGATGTGGATTGAGATGGGTGGGGCATGTGACATGTGTTGAGAAGGGGACATGACGAACCTTTGAACGAGCGTGGCATCTGGAAGTGGATGGCTTAAAAACACTGGGTAGTTTAGCTCTCATGGGGAATTCAACACCATTCAGGTGTTTACTCAATAAGAGGTGCTGTCAATCACCAGAATTAGCCTTATGACCACCAGGCCTGATGTAACGTGCTGCGTTTTCCACCCATTCCCCTACATGGTAAAGTCATTATCTCCCTTTTCCGTCACCCGAAGACTCTAGATAGACGAGGCCACGAGGGGGTATTCTCGATTCGCTTATGGGTTTGCTGTGTGCAGGCCTAATACCTGTACACATGTTAATGACTTTATTATTATCCACCAAGTCTGGTGTCAGCGAATCATGGCCTTCTGCACATGGAAACGGACGACCCTCTCCCTTTATCAGTGTGAAGTGCTGCCTAAATATCCTAATTTACTGCATATCGAGGATGCCAAAATGCATATTTGATATCAAATGGTTCAGAAAAATGTGGGCTTTCCAGGAAACACAAGGACTTAACTCCACCCAACCCCCCATTGAAGTCAATGGCTATTGAAACATAGACTTAACTCCTTAAGGCCCAAGTGCTCAGTGACACAGTTTTTCTCAAAATGGAGTCTTTGTGTCACGTGAACCCTCGATATGTGTTTTTAGTTTTTTTATTTCATCTGATAAATTTTGCAATAATTGTGTATTCCGCAGGAGTCCAGAGCATTCTCCCTTTCAGGGCCCTCAACGAGAAGAATTATGGAGGCATCTGGAACAGTGAGAACATCGAGAGGGTCGAGATAGTCATGAAGGAGTCACTTGATTCTAAAGGTAAGAATCATGGAGGCATCTGGAACAGTGAGAACATCGAGAGGGTTGAGATAGTCATGAAGGAGTCACTTGATTCTAAAGGTAAGAATTATGGAGGCATCTGGAACAGTGAGAACATCGAGAGGGTCGAGATAGTCATGAAGGAGTCACTTGATTCTAAAGGTAAGAATTATGGAGGCATCTGGAACAGTGAGAACATCGAGAGGGTCGAGATAGTCATGAAGGAATCACTTGATTCTAAAGGTAAGAGTTATGGAGGCATCTAGAACAGTGAGAACATCGAGAGGGTCGAGATAGTCATGAAGGAGTCACTAGATTCTAAAGGTAAGAATTATGGAGGCATCTGGAACAGTGAGAACATCGAGAGGGTCGAGATAGTCATGAAGGAGTCACTTGATTCTAAAGGTAAGAATTATGGAGGCATCTGGAACAGTGAGAACATCGAGAGGGTCGAGATAGTCATGAAGGAGTCACTTGATTCTAAAGGTAAGAATTATGGAGGCATCTGGAACAGTGAGAACATCGAGAGGGTTGAGATAGTCATGAAGGAGTCACTTGATTCTAAAGGTAAGAATTATGGAGGCATCTGGAACAGTGAGAACATCGAGAGGGTCGAGATAGTCATGAAGGAGTCACTTGATTCTAAAGGTAAGAATTATGGAGGCATCTGGAACAGTGAGAACATCGAGAGGGTCGAGATAGTCATGAAGGAGTCACTAGATTCTAAAGGTAAGAATTACGGAGGCATCTGGAACAGTGAGAACATCGAGAGGGTCGAGATAGTTATGAAGGAGTCACTTGATTCTAAAGGTAAAAAAGAGGATTAATCAACAGATTGATTATTGAATGAATATAGAACAGAGAGAACATTATGAGGGTGTAGATAGTCATTCGATTTCTGAAGTAGGATAGAGGATTAGTTGAACGATTGATTATTGAATGAATATAGAACAGAAAGAACATTATGAGGGTGTAGATAGTCATCAGATTTCTGAAGTAGGATAGAGGATAGAGAAGAGTTATGGAGGAATTAAATCTGGAACAGTGAGAACATCGAGAGGGTCGAGATAGTCATGAAGGAGTCACTTGATTCTAAAGGTAAAAAAAGAGGATTAATCAACAGATTGATTATTGAATGAATATAGAACAGAAAGAACATTATGAGGGTGTAGAGAAGTAGGATAGAGGATAGAGAAGAATTATAGAGGCATCTGGAACAGTGAGAACATCGAGAGGGTCGAGATATTCATGAAGTAGTCACTTGATTCTACAGGTTAGAAAGAGGATTAATCAACGGATTGATTACTGAATGAATATAGAACAGAAAGAACATTATGAGGGTGTAGATAGTCATTCGATTTCTGAAGTAGGATAGAGGAAAGAGAAGAATTATAGAGGCATCTGGAATAGTGAGAACATCGAGAGGGTCGAGATAGTCATGAAGGAGTCACTTGATTCTACAGGTAAGAAAGAGGATTAATCAACGGATTGATTATTGAATGAATATAGAACAGAAAGAACATTATGAGGGTGTAGATAGTCATCAGATTTCTGAAGTAGGATAGAGGAAAGAGAAGAATTATAGAGGCATCTGGAATAGTGAGAACATCGAGAGGGTCGAGATAGTCATGAAGGAGTCACTTGATTCTAAAGGTAAAAAAAGAGGATTAATCGACGGATTGATTACTGAATGAAAATAGAACAGAAAGAACATTATGAGGGTGTAGAAAGTCATCAGATTTCTAAAGTAGGATAGAGGATCGAGAAGAATTATGGCGGCATCTGGAACAGTGAGAACATTGAGAGGGTCGAGATAGTCGTGAAGGAGTCACTTGATTCTAAAGGTAAGATATAGCGGATTAATTAAAGCCCCTCTGCACTAGATTGACATGGAGGGATTAGACCTCCCTGCAAGGTCACTGGCTGGTGATTATCTCATCAAATCAGCTGCCAATTAACATAAGAAAAAGGGGATCATGGGGGATCAACAGGTACCGCTTAGGCATTGTTGGCTGTATAGAGGGCGCAAGTAGCTATAAGTAGTGCAATGGGGCTCTAAAAGATTGAATCTTAAGGGTGTTTGAGGGTGTAGATAGTCATTCAATTTCTGAAGTAGGATAGAGGATTAATTGAAAGATTGATTATTGAATGAATATAAAACATTGACATCTTGGAGATTTTTGTTATAAGCTACTGAAATCCTTGCTTTTGATTGATTATCAGCAGATTTGTCACTGATTTTTGTCATCTGTCATTGAAAAAAGGCTTTGTGAAACACCCCTCTGGAAGAAGAATGAATGAAAGGTACATGTATTTTTTAATAAAACCAAAAGAAAGTTTAGGGTACATGGATTTAGGAAAGTCGTAAAATAGAGACCAAAGGTCTGCCAGAGAAATTGATGGAAGGAAGAATGAACTTAAAGGCCCACTGCACTACTTGTAGCTACTTGCGCCCTCTATATAACAAACAATGCTTAATCCATGACCACTGGTCCCCCATGATCCTCTTTTTCTTATGTTAACTGAGAGCTGAGTTGATGAGATAACCACCTGTCCAGTGACCTTGTAGGGCGGTCTTATCCCTCCTGTAAACTATGGGAGATAAGCTTTAAAGGAGGTTGTTCACATAGTAATAATAATAAAAACGATACTTTTAAAGCATTTGTCACCAAAGTCTGTAAAGCGCTATAGTACTTGAAATTTGACAGAAATTGCCAAATTGTTAGCCTCAAATTTTACAATGGTCGAAAAAGCTCTCTGTTCACACAGTCCCCATAAAATTAGTGTGGAGCCCAGGGGGTGTTTTACAAAGGTCCTAAGTCAAACTTAACTCTAAGTTGGACTTAAATATTATGGAGAGCCAATTGTAGCCTTAAAAGTACTATGTCCCATTTGCTGGCCAAAAAAATGAAAAGGTTAAATTCCAATGGCATTTCAAAGATAATACTAATTTAGAACTCCCCTTAAAAAAGGGGGGCTTGAAAATGTCTTTAATTGGGAAAATAACGACTATTAGTTGTCAAATCGACTTAGGAGCTATAGAGCCAATAAGTCATAGTCTTGATTTTCAGACCATTGTACCGCATGGTCGTACGTTTTATGCTGCGCAAAGATTCAATCAGTTTAATTTTGGCCATTAAAAGAAGTGGGTAATTGATGTAGACAAATCCTTTACAGCTCATTTTATGTATGTTATTACCAAAAAAGAAAAAAAGCCAGTCAGTCACTCAATAGTGTCTGAGAGTGAAGGCTAGCAAGTAAACGGGTTTCCTTGCATAATTTGAATATTAGGACACTGCTAACGTTTAAATTTCACAGATAGGGCTTACATGACATAGTCATAATTCCTGCAAAGTTCTACAGAATTTGATGATGGCTGCAAAAGGGACATACCGGTAGTATCTTTAAAATAAAGTATATTCAAAAGTGAAAATTGAAGTATTTTAGACTTTTTATAAATTCCACGTGAAGAATATGAAATCTCCTCGATTATAGAAAATATGAATGATTTGAATCCATATTTTATGCCTTTTAAAAAAGAACTTTTACAAAATATTTTTAAAGATGCTTACGGCTTTCCATAATTATTAAGTCCAACTTAGAGATAAGTTAAACTTAGGATCTTTGTGAAACACCCCCTGACCCATTGTGTTTTTCTACATTATATCTTTCGCTTAGGTCGCATCTACTTCTACGACAAATATGGAGTGATGAGGGATGTGATGCAGAACCACCTTACAGAGATCATGGCCCTGGTTGCCATGGAGATCCCTTCCAATCTCAGCAGCATCCATGACTACCAGCGAGAGAAGCTTGCGTTGCTAAGCCAGGTTGATCATGTGACAGCAGAGCAAGCTGCAATTGGTCAGTATGAGAGTTACGTCGATGAGTGGAGGGAGGAGATGGACAAGGGCGAGGATGACACATCCAGCGTTCCGACGTTTGCTGGGGTTCTATTCTTTGTTTCGAGTCCACGATGGAAAGATGTTCCGTTCCTGATGCTGTCCGGTAAAAAGCTAGATGAGAAACAGACATATGTTAGGATCGTTTTTAAGAATTCACACTTCTGCACCGTGACACCCAATTATGCTGAAGGCGATCATGCCTGCAGACAAAAGCAAATCATATTTTTCATTGGGTCTGGAAATCATCCAACCATTGCTGTTAGTAGGGCGCTACGTAAACCGCAAGTCCCAAAGTCCTGGAGCATTCCGGACCTTGACCCGGACACCAATATCCTAGGGTCACCGGTCAAAGACTTCTATGCTTATTCGGCTGGCGTAGAGTTGGATGCTTACTCTGTGCTCATCAAAGAATGTTACCATGGAAACAGGGATAAATTCATTGGAAGTTCAGAGCTAGTGGCATCCTGGGATATCTGGACTCCGTTACTCAGAGCGTTGGAAGACGTCCCTCCGATGCGCTACCCAGGTGGCAAGGAAACCGGGCGATGGCTCGACATGGAGATTCAGGGGAGGAGACTGAGGTCTTGTCACAAAAATGATAGGACATGGAATATTGAAGATTCAAACAGATTTGGCATGCCTTCCATCTCGGGTATCCCGGACACTTTCAGATCTAACAACCTCTATACTGGAAGCAAGGAGGATACCGTGTCTCTGTTGGCGAAGCATCTCCTGGTTGCGACCCAGTCTGCTATCTCGTCTCATGGCGCCTTTCACGTTGCCTTCCCTGGTGGGAACACACCGGAAATGCTTTTTCTCCATCTCTTCCTGCGCATGAGACACACGTTTCCCTGGCGTGAAACACACGTATGGTTGACGGACGAGCGGTGCGTCCCGCTCGATTCCGAGCTTTCCAATTTCAATGTAATCTACTCCAAACTCCTTCGGTACATTCCTATCCCATACACGAACATTCACCCCATGCCTGTTCAGCTCGCTCACGGGTTATGCAACTTGAAAGACGGTGGACCGGAACTATACTCGGCTGAAATAAAGCGACTTATACCGGACCAACGATTTGATTTTGTTGTGTTAGGAGTCGGAGAAGATGGCCACGTTGCTTCTCTTTTCCCTCACCATGAAATCCTTGTAGATAAAACAAACTTTGTATTATTTTCTGACGGTGCCGTTCAGTCAAGTTCCCCTCGCAGAATGACCTTGGGATATTCCACCATTAATAACTCCAGGAATGTAGCGATACTCATAACGGGTGAGAGGAAGCGTTTTCTTGTTGAGAAATTAAAGCAAACACATTTTAAAAATGCCACTGAATTCCCTGTCCTTGGCGTAGCCCCTAATAATGGGACTCTCTCATGGTTCATAGATCATGATGCTTTAGTTTGATTGAGACTTTCATTTTGTTATTGGAACCATGCAGTAGTGAATAAAATTACAGTCAAACCTGTCTACAGCGACCGCACAAGGGAAACTCGGAAAGTGGTCTTTTTAGACAGGTTCCTTTAGTACATGTTTCAATGAGAAACCATTTTCAAGGGAAACAAAAAATGTGCTTGTTGTGGACAGGTGGTCACTAAAGCAGGTTTGACTGTATTACATCTTGACTTTTCCCTCATACATGTTGCAAATCACATTGAAATGAATCCCTTTTCCCGTGGTAACCTATTAGTCTTTTCAATACTTTATTTGTGAGTACTTGTTTGAATCACTCATTGGAGAAAAAGAGAATGGGGGGGGGGGGGGGGGGTTACGTCCTTCTGTACCTGTAGAAATATGCATATTGTTTTTTAAGCACCTTGTTTTGCATTCATTGCAAAATCAAATACAAAGTATTCAAATAACAATAACAGTAAATTAAATACAATTGAAATACACACAAATAAATACATATATATATATATATATATATAATTGAAAACTTGAAAAGTAAATCGGACCAATAATGAGTGAGTTGTGCATGTTTGATAAGAGAGATCGTTGAATCTATGTGAACCTCAAATTGTCAATTTCTTTTTTAATGTGACATTAGTCTCTGTTTTTGGGTGTACAAAAAAATCATGGTCTCTATTTTGGCCTCTCCTTTGGAGCAGTAGTCATGATACAGTCAAACCTGCTTTAGATTAGGTATTCTAAAAAGAAAAGACCCTCTTGATTCATTCATTTTGATAAAGTTACTTATAGTAATTTTCGGTGTTGAAAAAAGGGCAAGTTGTCCGGTACAAAAGCCCTTTTCACACCAGATCTGCGTAGAGTTGGGTAGTGTGGCGTACCGAGTACATATGTTTTAACATGACCTAGGAAAAGATATTACATGGATATCTTCAGATGAGAAGATTGTAAATGTCAATATGAACAATTATCCTCTATGGACATAATAAAGAAATGAAATGAAATGAGATGAAATGAGATGCCTGGCACAACCAAAGAAAAGTTCTTTATTGAATGTTCAGGAAAACCTATGCACAACGCGAGTCAAACTTTGAGAAAAAATGTGGGAAAATGATGGTCGTAAAGGGATGCTCCTGCTTATAGTACATTTCATCTCCTCAGCATATACCAAAAGCTGTATGTAGGCCTGGCGTCAAGGGTAGTGTATGTAGGTTTGCTTACTGTTGCGTATGATTTGCGCAAGCGCCATGCTAAAATGCAATAGATGCTTGTAGGAGCCGCAAGTGTAGCCATTGGCTCTATATAAACCTTATACAGTAGGCTTGCGGGTGCACCATGTGTGTGAGAGAGAAAGGGGATTGAGTCCTGAAAAGGACTCTGACTCGGTAATCTTTCTTAGGGGTGTGTAGTCCCGAAAAGGACTGTTATCTTTCTTAGCTTATAGTTCTATAAGGAGAACTATAGCGCTTGGAGAGGATGAGTGGCTCAACGTTTCGAACTAGTTGACTATCCGTCATCAGGAGTGGAGAATAGCTGGCGTGTGTGAGCTTAAGTCACCGGGGTGCGGACGTCGGGGGAAAAATAGGTGACCGTGTGGGCTTGAGTCATCGGGGAGTGGACATGGATGGTCTGCTTGTTCGTCTGACTGTCTGTCTGGGCTGGAGTCTCCGGGTTGCGGAGAGTTTCGAATCCGGCGAGACGCTGTGTGTGTCCCCGATGTAGGCGGCGTTGTAGTCTGCTGTGCATTGTAGCTGTGAGGCTGGCGGCTGCTTTGAGGGTTCAGCGGGTGGCGGTGGTTGATGTCTGGTGTCTGTTTGGGTGGTGAGGGCGGTGGTGGAGGTGGTGGTGGTACATAAACCTTGTTTTCTGCCCCTAGATCCACTGCTGCTTAGAACACATCGCTGCTGTTCCAATTACAGTGGACTGTTGTAAAAATGCAGGCAGAAGCTCATAAGTTGGCTGTCACCTTGAGGTTCCTGGCCACCGGCAACAGCTACAAGACACTTCAATATGGATTCTGAGTTGCCCACAACACTTTTTCTGTGTTTATCCCACAAGTGTGCCAGGCAATAATCGAATTATCTGAAAAAGTTCTCATTTGCCCAGATACTCCAGAGGGATGGAAACAAGGTAACAAGTGGCACAATCTTTCTACAACTGCAATCTTCCTCACTGCGTAGGTTTGATTGATGGCAAACACTTTGCCATCAAGAAACCTCCAAAGACTGGCAGCTTTTTCTATAACTATAAAGGGTTTTTCTCCCTTTTACTACAAATTCATGGACATTGGACATTCAACAAGAGGTCTTTCAAGGAAACAGTTGAGCCAAACTGAATCTGCCTGAAGCAGACCTTTTGCCTCATGATGACCAGTCACTAGAATACTTCCTTGTAGGAGACGACACATTTGCTCTCAAGACATGGCTGATGAAGCCTCTGCCGCTTCGCAACACGACTCAGCAACATAGAGTCTACAACTACAGTCTCTAGCGAGCCTGAAGAGTTGTGGAAAATGCTTTCAGACTTCCGGCAGCTCGGTTCCGCTTTTGATCTTCTCGTCACTTTGCCCTTTATATCTCCAGACAGAGTCATCAAGATCATCCCCATTGGAGTGTCGTGGTCGAGTGGTTTAAGGCGCTTGACTAGAAATGCGAAGGTCAAGGGTTCGAATTCCGACATGGCACTAATATCCTTTGGCAAGATATTACCTGCACTTGCTACTCTCCACCCAGGTGTTGAATGGGTACCCAGTAGGATGCTACCGTCATTGTTGGTCAAACAGTTTTTGAGCGTCAAGTAACGCCTGGCTGGAATGCTCCCCAGGGAGTGGAGATTGTGCACACATTGTGTGCGGGCAAGCACTGAATCCAATGACTGGGGTAATAGTATATTTGTAAAGCGCTTAGAGACATTGTTTTAAGCACTATATAAAAACTAAATATTATTATCCATTCATTCTGTGTCCTGCAACACTTGCTGCTACTCAGAAACCCTACAGTTGATGTAGCTACACTTGACCAAGGCTCGTGGAGACAGGAAGACCACCTGGCAGACATCCGGGAACACCTGTATCCTGGCAACACAAGCAGAGCAGCAAAAGAGCAAAGGAACTACCTAATGGAGTATGTCAACTCTCCTGTAGGCAGTGTGCTTACAGTAAATATTGTTTTACTTCTGAAATACATTCCAATCGTACACACTCACACAGTCTCACTAACAGAGTCGGGCAAGGATATACAGATGTAGACACACACACAAATTACACACACATAAGTAAATAAAACATACGCACAAACACACATGTGCATTTGCACATATGCCAACACACATACATATTCTAACACCTGACAAACACACAAGACACCCTCCACCAAACAATGTTACAAACATACAAACAGGACCACAAACGTACACACACAAACAAACGAACAAACTCGCACAAACAGACTGAGATGTCAAAATCACAAAATGAATAAACCATAACAAAACAGAAGATGTCAGTCTGAAATAGTTTGAAAGTACAAACATAATTACAAGCAATACAAAGTCAAAGAAACACTTTTTTTCCATGAAAAGAATAAATATGAGAACGCACGCATGTAAACAAAAGATAGCATTTCCCGTCATTTTTTTTAAAAATACCTGCAGGTATATATATGTGAGGTGGTCTTGTGTGATCTTGAAATCAATGGCAGACAGACAGATCCTGTGACAGGGACAAGCAAAGAGTGCCGGCTTGTCTCGGCACAACGCCCTCTACAGGTTAAAGACAGGGTGATTTCCTAACCCCTAACATCCTTCCCCACTTAATTCCTCATCATCCTCGATGACCGACGGAACAATACTAAAGCCATCAACTATACCAACAAACCTATAACTCATAAATAAATAACCACCTGGCGACATAACACCTATATTAAACTTCACCATTACCTGTATCTTTCCATGTACCCAGCAAGGATGTCCCCTTTAACTCATTGACTCCTGAATTGTATAGGTTCCATAGGCTTAACACAGGGACCACCAGGTTCCAGTAAGCAAAGGGTTAAGTGTCATTTCGCAAGCTCGTAAAACACAGTATACGCTATACATACATATACAAATATAATAATATGGCTGACTGCTGCTTGTGTCGAGGCTTCAAACTCATAAGTCGTCTCACCAAAAAGTTATCTTCAAATCTACAACTCAAATAGGTATGCACTAATCATTCAATTTGCACAAAATGCGCAAGTTAGCACTTCATGTCCAAATGTCATCCCTGCATCACAAGCAGTTTGTATAATTTTACCTTGATGAAATAAATGGGGTGATATCAAATGTCGGACAGATCCATACCAGACCCAAAACCAGCGTAACAAGTACATGAAAAGGCATGTCGATTTACAAAAATTATGCAATTTCCTATCGCATACCTTTTTTCTTTGCAAATATCAAAAACCCAAAATAAAATATGTTAATAAAAGTCATATCCTGTCTCTAAACAAAAAAAAAAATCATCTATTATGCTTTCAATAAAAACTATATGGATATCTATTCCTACTGGTAAGGCGCTACATTCTCCTGGCTCTAGAAGCACTTCAAATGGGCCCGTACTCGTTCCAGTTGTACTTTGTGCTTCAATCACCACTGCCTGATGTGCAGATATCACAATTAACACTTCCTTCCTGTCTGAGCCGGACTGTTCCGATGGCATCCCTCGCTTGGCTCAACTGGCTCAACTGGATACGCTTGTTAAATGCCTTGAAAGCCTTCTGCCAGGCTGTACTAGGATCAGGCCACTGTAATTTTGTCAAGTAGTCTTGTCCTTCGGCTTTGAACAGATGATCCCAACGTTCCTGCAGTATGTTCATGCCTAAAATCTCTAATGCGGTGTGGCTATTTTTGGTGGCTGTATTGTCTCTGGTCACAAGAACAACTCTATCAGGAACTAGATGGCCAAGGGCTTCCACATCGGTTTTGAAGTATCTCTTATGTGGCATCAGTGCATCTCTGCTTGCCGATACCACCGTGTAGGAGGTAGGAATTATCTCCTCCATCCTAACACCAGCAGGCCTCAACTTCTCGTTAAAATTCCAGCTGTCTTTCATCATCCTGAAACACTGATAAAAAAGATCTCATGATTCACAGTCCATAAACCCAGCAACAGTCATTGACCCTCAGTATCAGCACCGTCCTGTGCTGTGATCACTCCCTTCACTGTGTTGGTCAAGTGTCAGTACATGGCTCGGTAGGAGTTCTGCATGGCTTCGGAGTGGATATATACTGCCGCGAGTCCAGGAACATTCAGGTCTGTGCCAGACACGTTCAGGAGACGATCAGGGGCCTGGAAGGCTGGAACGTGTAGAACTGAGAAGTAGTATCATAGGCTTGCCGAATCAGCCTGTTGGTAGCCCCTGGGTCAGACAACGTCGTTAGGATGGAGTAGGACGACTGTTTCTTGGCATGTCCAGCAGATGATGAGCTTGGCTGTTGAGGGGGAGACCAAACAGGCATATTGAAATGTGCCTGCGAATCCTGCAATGTGGACTGCTGTGACTGCGAACAACTGTATTGCTAACCCTGTGACAAACTGTACTGGTGGCCCCTGGACGGTTGACCCTGTGACAAACTGTAGTGCTGCTGGAAGGGTTGTGGAGTGTTTTATGCTTTTGTTTGACTCTACAGAATAGGCAATAAAGTCTGTTTAAAGTTTACAACTTCAACTGGTTAGTGCTTTATTCTAGTAATCTTCATTCTGGTTGTCAAGTCAGTACATAACACAAGAGGGCGCACTGCCACTCTAAACCATATATAACATCCTTCCTTCTTTAAGAAGTTAATACCTGTATATTAGTTTGTCGGCCTGAAATGCGTGTATGAATGCCCATGTCAGTACACATAAATCTAACTAGACATATAATACTTGTTTGGAACAAGTATAGGTGGGCTGGTCAACTAACATTTGAGACAAAATAGAGCAAAAATAAGCGACATACTGCTTACAAATTCTTAAAAGACAATATCATGTAGATTCATAACGTGAACTAAATTCACCTTCTATAGGCATAACACGCAAATTATGAAGTTTTTGACACGAGGCCTTTAATCAAAATTTTCACTATGATGACGTCATCAAAATGAAAAATGGTTATTACTGCGCTTGTAGAGAATTGTCTTAACTACAACATATCGAAATTTTGAAGAAAATTGATCAATATTTACAGAGATACAATCAATTTTACATAAATATGCTGACGTCATAATATGCAAATTCATATTTTGAGTTCCAAGGCCATTGTGATGATGTCACGATACACTTAATGGCCAAATGAGACATGGAATCATATTTCCGACTCATACTCTATCTTAATATGAAAAAAAATTGAGGATCCCGGTGCATTCCAAAGAGCTATAACGGATTTTGTATAGGCATGTTTTTGCCCATATATGCTATGTATTAAAAGACCTCGCGCGCACTGACATTTATCTTGAATTTACGCTCATCTCGTTAATAATGGTCATAAAGAGATAAACATGGAATCAAATTCCTTGAAAAAATGTGAGAAATATCATGAAAGAAAAAAAAATGGCGACTCTATGTTTTTTAATGGTGTTACGCGCGAAAACGCGCGCGCATGCTCATACGCGCGATTTTTTATAAAATGCTTAAAATGACCTGAAACGTATGCAAAATAAATTTGAGACGATTTTGAGCATTTAAAAATTTTGCGCGCGCATTGACGCGCGGACGTACGCGCACGCGCGCGTTTTTTGACCTGAAATTGACTGGACTGATATTGACCTTGATCATAATAAATATGAATGAGAAATACCTTTTGGTTATGAAGATATGATCAAGAGCTTATTTTCAGAAAATTTCACAAAATGGCGCCTAGATGACGTCGTCAGTCAAGGTCAAGGTTGAAAAGCTTACCGTGCTTTGTCCATATGCCTATACATATATGCGCCAAATTTCAAGGCATTTGATTTAACCATTTTCAAGTTATCTTGTTAACAAAAAAGTGGTTAGAAATAAAATAAAGAAATAATAATAAAGGCAATTTTAACGAAAACATAAGGTGGTCTGTATTATATACAGCCCACCTGATTATAAATCCTCTGGAAATATCTGTGTTTATAGAAATAGTATCATAATAAATCAACTTCAGCATGGATGCATAATTACACTTGAGTGGTTTTGTTGTTCTTTTGAGACAATACATATGAGCTTAAATTCTGTTTTCTCTCGATTAGTCCTTTGGAACACTGGCTTAGATTATGTATCATCTTCATCAAATTTCAAATAGATCCAAAATCAAATACTTTTGTTTTGATTTGTCTAAACAACATCAACCAATCAATATAAACAACATACTAACTTTCTTTCTTGTTAATTAACAGGTGACTTTCCTGTATAAACAATTAACTTTCTCTTAATGAAACAAATATATAGTTGTCTGTCTACATCTATATAAAGTAGTTACACATAATGTTTATTTAATGATAAACAACAAAATCTTTCATGTGAGCTGGTGGATGGCGAGCTCTGGTACTACGGCGAGCTGTTCTTGGTGGTTCTTGAGTCTCTTCAGCGAGCTGGGGTTCGCGAATATCATTATTTGCTTCGCGACGAGGAGACTTCGCTACGTGATCTGGTGAATTTGTGTCGCTACGCTTCGCTTCGGATGTTGATGGCTCTGGTTGTTCGCGAGTTACGCTAGTAGGCGTGGAGAATATATCTGACTGGTCACTGAATGCGCTACTACATGTGCGCAAGTGCTTCCTGTTTCGTCGAACTATATTGCCATTCTCTGACCTGACTAGATATGATCTGGAATCAACTTGTTTCTCTACTCTCGCTTTGTGCCATCGCTTACTCTGTGCGTTAGACTGCGGCTGAACACGAACAATATCTCCGCGTTTCAATGGTGGTAGCTCTTTCGTGCTCTTATCGTAGTACTGCTTTCGCTTCTGCTTTTCCGCTTTCTTTGCGACAACTCTATTTTGTGTGCGTGGAATCAGAAGCTTGGACGCGGTTGGTACAAGAGTGCGAGTGCGACGACCATACAGGCGTTGAGCTGGCGAGCTATCAAGTCCTGCTGTGGGTGTGTTACGCCAATTTAGAAGAGCTAGCTGAAAATCTTCTTGAGCTTCAGTTGTCTTACGTAAGAGACCCTTCGCAATCTTGACGGCACTCTCCGCTTTCCCATTGCTCTTGGGATAATATGGGGAACTCGTGATGTGCTCAATCTCGTACTCCTGCATGAAGGTCGCGAAATCTTGAGAGTTAAATGGGGGACCATTGTCCGACATAATGGTTTCTGGGATACCGTGACATGCGAAAATGCTCTTTAGTCGCCTGACGACTGCTCTGGTATCTTTCTTGTGTGGCAGAGGAAGAACTTTCGAAGTAGTCTGAGAAATAGTCCACAACACAAACATAGTTCTTGTTGTTCAACTCGAATAAGTCTATACCGAGTTTCTGCCACGGACGTTTCGGCAAGTCATGATTGATCAGAGGTTCACTTCTTTGCTTCGGAGCAAAGGTTGCACAGACTTCACAGTGTGAGAGATAGTCTGTAAGATCGCTTGTCATCCCTGGCCAAAATACACATTCTCTGGCCCTTGCGAGTGTGGCCTGTATTCCTGTGTGTGCGCTATGAAGTCGCTGTTTCACACGAGGTCTCACTTTGACAGGAATTACACAACGCTGTCCGCGGAAGATTATACCCTCATCATACGTTAGTTCATCACGGATGTCAAAGTATGGAGAAGTCCCAGGTGGCAGACGAGACTTGTCTTCGGGCCACCCCTCAAGGATCAGTCCCTTTACCGCTTGTAGGCTTTCATCCTGTTGCGTTTCAATCCTGATGAGCGCTAACGTCTTCTGCGACACCGCTATGTCCTCAAGCATGTGAATGCTTTCAACTTCTTTCTCTGTCGGCGATTGCTCGGAGTTCGGTAAGTATGCTCGCGACAGGGTGTCTGCTAGGTACATCTTTCTACCCGGCTTGTAGAAGATCTCTACATTGTACTGTTGCATTCGCAATAGTAATCTTTGCAGTCTCTTTGGTGTAGAAGCCAACGGTTTACGCGTTATTGTCACTAGCGGTTTGTGGTCTGTCCAAAGGATCACCTTTCTACCGTACACGTACTGATGGTTTCTTTCAAGTCCGAAAACTTGCGCAAGAAGTTCCTTCTCGATCTGAGAATATCTAGTTTCGGCCTCAGTCAACGCTCTACTTGAGTATGTCACCGGTTGGTCATTCTGAGTCGACACGAAACCCAGGCCCTTTTGTGAGGCATCACCTTGACCCTCTACCGGCAACTGCTGATCAAAGTATCGGAGAACCAGTGCTTCTGTAACAAGTCCTTTGATCGCGATGAACGCTCTAGACTGTTCTTCTTCCCAGTTCCAGGGAGTGTCCTTGTGGGTCAACCTACGTAACGGTTCGCTGAGCCCCGACAATGATGGCAAGAACTTTGCTAAGTATTGAACCATTCCCACAAATCGCTGGATTCCAGGTATATCTACTGGCTGTGGCATGTCAACGAGAGCTGCGACTTTGCTAGGATCGGGCCGAACACCTTCCTTGGTCAGTCGGTGACCAATGAACTGCACCTCCTTACATTTGTACTCAAGCTTGCTAGAATTCAGCTTGATGTCTCGCTCGCGACATCGGCGAAGGAAACTAGTCATGTTACGATCATGGTCTATGCAGGCCTCTGCATGTGTCTCACCCTGTCCAGTTATGAGAATGTCATCTGCTATGACGAATACTCCTGGTAGGCCTTCAAGGCACTGATCTAGGCGCTTCTGGAAGAGCTCAGGCGAAGGTGATAGACCAAAGGGTAAGCGAAGAAACCTATATCTACCCCAAGGTGTCTGAAATGTTGTAAGCTTGGATGATTCTGCGTCCAACTTACACTGTAGAAAACCTTCCTTCAAGTCGGCCTTGCTGAAAACTTTCACATTCGCTAACTGTGGTAGGACATCATCAATCGTTGACAATGGGTAATGCTCACGCTTCAACGACCTATTAAGATGTTGCGGATCGATGCATACTCTCAATTTACCACTTGGTTTCCTAGCTACTACAAGACTAGATACCCAATCACTAGGATCTTCTACCGTCTCAATCACCTGCAGCTTTTCAAGCCTACACAACTCTTCTTTCAAATCTTCTTTAATTGAAAGAGGGACCCTTCTAGGGGGCATCACTACTGGCTTCGCCTCAGCCTCTAAGGTCAAATGAACTACTCCTGGCATGTTACCCAACCCTGTAAATACGTCCTTGTATGGGATCAGAATATCATCATTAGCTACTGCATGAACAACTTCAATGTTTTCATACTGTACTTTGATCAACTTCATCTGCTGGCCTGTACTAGCTCCCAACAGTGGTCTTGTGACTTCGCCCTTCACAACAACAAATGGAACTAAGTACCTCTTGTTATTCTTTACATTCCTAAGATGCAACTTGCATTTCCCTGCAAGCTGGTACTGTTCCTTGACCATACACAATCAGAACCTGATTTGTACTAGTTAACTCTGTCCCAGATGGAACATCTTCTAGATGGATAACATTACATGTCGCTCCACAATCAACCTGCATACCAATCTCGTCTTCGTCATTGATTCTAAACTTTGCAATGATCTTTTTCTGATAATTTGGACTCTTACTATCAGCAGATACCTGAAATGCTTCATCTGTGCCTATCAGAGAAACATATACACACTCTTGTTCAGAATCTTCATCCTCTTCAATTGTCTCTACTCTGTGAGCCTTGTTCTTATTCTGTCTACATTTCACAGCGAAATGATTTTCTCTTTTGCACAGCTTACACTTTTGGCCATAAGCTGGGCATTTTTATTTGTCTTTTTCATGCTGCTTACCACAGAAACCACAATTAATCAATTTAGGAGCTAGCTTCTTGCCCTTACCCCCACTATGCTTCCAAACCTTTGGTTTATGGGACACTGCATAGGCAGATACTGGTTCCTGCATGGCTTTGCTCTGAGCTTTGGACGACTCCATAGCTCTGCAAATATCCAAACAACTAGACAGAGTAAGATTTGGCTCTTGCAAAAGACGTTTTCTTGTATTATCGTCTCTAATCCCTAGAACGATTCGATCTCTGATGAGGTCATCAGTTAGAGTACCAAACTCACAAGTACTTGCAAGAGACCTTAACCTCACATAATAATTCTCAACTGACTCATCAGTATTCTGAACACACTTATTGAACTGATATCTTTCAAAAGTAATGTTTGTTTGCCCGACACAATATTCAGACCAGAGTTTTCTTATGCATTTATAACTCTTTCTTTCCTCCTCATTTCTGAAAGGGAGGCCTTGTTGAATCTCCAATGCATCAGTTCCTAGTGCCGTTATGAAATGTGCCACACGAATTTTATTACTTTCGTGTTCTAACCCAGTTATGACCTCATAACTGTCCCACATCTGGGTGAAAATACCCCAGTTTTTCTTTATATCCCCTTTTACCGAAAGAGGTCTTGGGAGTGGCACATTTGTTCTACTTGTACTGCCCGGCCTATTTCTGGTCCTAACACTATCATTATCAGTATTGTTATCACTCAAGACCTGACCCTGGTTAGTCCCAGTTTCATTTACTCCTTCTGACTCTTCACTTCCCCTCTGGGGAGGATCTTGTACTGCCTCAGTGTTAGACATGGTTATCTCTACCGCCTATACAATTACACTTACAGTAACAAATCAGCAAATTCTAATACGGAGTAAACTATACTGCGAAACCCACTGAATGAACCAGACGGATTGGACTTATCGAGTATTAATTCTGATATTAATGCACTCTTTCCATAAATCCACACCATTTCATTCCAAACAATGCACACGTAAAACAACCAAAATAACTAAACATCGTAATTATTATTGATAGTTCACATTACATCGACTGACGAGTCAAGTCTATTGCGACAATGTTCATAAGTCATATTCTCCGCTGCTCAACGACGTCGCGTTTATGGATGCTATGCTACGAACCATTCGCTAATCTGTCCACTGTACGACGACTTCGCGTGTACTCGGTTGCTGCAAACTTGCTCGGAACGTGAACAGTTCGACTCTGTAAATTATTCTTCCTGGCTGTACGCCGATTTCAGGAATGAGTCCATGGTCACTACACTTCTGACACCACACTTCTGACACCATGTTTTATGCTTTTGTTTGACTCTACATAATAGGCAATAAAGTCTGTTTAAAGTTTACAACTTCAACTGGTTAGTGCTTTATTCTAGTAATCTTCATTCTGGTTGTCAAGTCAGTACATAACACAAGAGGGCGCACTGCCACTCTAAACCATATATAACATGGAGGAGGCTGGAACTGTTGCTGGATTTGCTGTCGTTCTTGATTCTTCTGGATCTGGATACTTCAGAATCGAGGAAGCTGCTGTGTTGCCTCGATATAGAATGTATTCCAGACCTCGTCATTCATCTTGCTGGTTTCGTGAAACACCAACTCAGCAAACATCCTTTGACTCTCGCAACCTTTATTCACAATCATAGCTTCAGTTATGGTAGCCCTGGTGGAACTGACCTGTCTTGACAGCTGAAAAGACGCGAACAGGAGTATATGAGTAACATGGAGACCAACAAATTAGTTGGGTGTTCACTTTTGGCAATTAGCAATTTGCAGAAATACTGTACCTCGGCCAAATCTGAAGAGGAGATATCCCGCTTCTTGTATGTAGCCCACCCTTGCTTCCGGATGCCCTGCTGAAAGCAGCCTTGCTGATAGGTCTGCTGCCAGAGCTGTCAACATCAAGTTCTATGAGTTCTTCTTCATATTTTTTTCCCCTTGTGATGTAGGCCTGCCTCCTGTTCAACAGGTACAAAACAAGACATGCCTTTCGGTTAGTAATACTTTTTTTTTTTTTGGTCACAAAATTTTTAAATTTTTAAATTTGCTCCGTGGGGGGGGGGGGGGGGGGAGGGGGCACGTGCCCCCTGTGCCTCCCCCCCCCTGGATCCGCCACTGGAAGGTACAGCCTTAGTACGATTTTGGAGTATTTAGGTCAAAGGTCTAAGGTCATAGCTCATAGAATATTCGAAAATACCTAAAGATGTTTCCTAAAATGTGGTTTCCGTTCGATAACTAGGATAACAAATTTTAGATGAATTTTGATATGAAGGTACATGATATCTAAATATAGCCTAAGTTCGATTTCGGAGTATGTACGTCAAAAGTCACAGCTAATTAAATATGTAAACATTGCTAAATATAGGCCATTTGCACCCTACGAGGAGATGCTACTCTTTGCGTTAACACATTTTGTTTCTATCTATTCTTTGTTTTACTATTCTACAATTTCTCAGCTTTAATTTGTTGTGTTGTCATTTTTATGAAATTTTGTGTAGTAAATGTATACATCATCATAACAATGCAAGTCCGTTTGTAGATTTTTGGTTGAGACATGTGACGTGTTGGAAGAGTCGTTGATCAGCACAAACACGTTCTCACAACGACAAAAAAGAGCAAATCTAAACATTTTCGGTTTTCATGTATTTAGTTCATGAACTCTCTGCCATAACATTCTCTGCAGTCGCCCTTTGACCTCCTGTGCTAGTCTTCTTCCTAGACACTTTAACTCCTCCTTTTCTAAGAATGACTGTTAGTCATAAAAGAAAAAGTCTTATCAAACAACAACATACATATATTTGAATATCTACCATATCTACTCTTTGTACAACTAATTTGTCTTGAACCCAAAATATTAATTTAAAAAAAAGAAGAATACTTTCGATAAGATTATTCCACATGGGCTTATGAAAAATATATTGTGCAATTATAACACCAACATTTGTACTAGCACGTTTCATTAACTTCACAAGTCAATCGTATGGATCTAATTATCCTTTTTTCTGAATATTCTTGGCAATCGTATCAATCGATACTAAACACTTATTTCTTTCTTTAGTGGTAATATCAGTTTCTATTTTAAGACTTTGTCCTGTAAATAACTTATCAGGCATAAAAGTAAACACTTTTCATTCTTTATGTATCGTCTTTTGAAATTTTGCTTATGCACAAATATAATATGAAAACAATCTTTCTTGTTGTAGGATTAATTATGATGTAAAGAAACATAAGTCATGTTATGTGAACAATTATTTCAATTTTACTCATATATAAATCAATATCGTTTGATATGACAACAACCTTGTCTCTGTGTGATTCGTATAGAGTTACAGTAGTACTCTAAACATACATTTGGGAAGATAAATTAGAATATAATACATAACGTCATACATGATTTTGTCCTGAACTGTTGTCATAACATAAGAAAAAGAGGATCATGGGGGACCAATGGTCACCGATTAGGCATTGTTTTCTATATAGAGGGAGCAAGTAGCTATAACATCATGATTTGTTATCTTAAATCATTCCATAATTAGATTTGCAAGCATTATTTAAATGGGCGTCATAAAAATGTCTTTGAAATTATCCTGAAAGGAATTAAGGAGTTCGGTTTCAACTTCAAGCAAATTCATTTAACTGAAGATCTTCAAGAGAGAGCTATAACACGATAGTTAATATAGATATTCTATTTACCCAAACTGGACGTTTTCCAAGTTTAAAACAGAAGAACAAAACAGGGTGTGGAAAAATAAATGATGTACAAAAAAAAAAAAATCTTCGATGACGCCATTCATTGCGTCTGCAGAATCCACCTGCACAGACTAAACTCACGGTATATCAGGTCAGGCTGCAGCGTGATAGTTCTACCGGGAACTACTGGGAGGGATGACTCATCAATCAAGGGAAAACACCCTCAAATTTTTCCATGCTTCATCACCGTACTGGACTGGGGTTCCCCGGCAGCCAGACAGCTTCTAATGTTCCAGTATTGATCAAGCCAGCTCTATAGCTTATAATCTTTGTTCGGCATGCATGTGGGGGAGTTTAGGGCTTGATCCGAGGGCATCTTAGGAATATACAGTGGGGCTTAACATGACAATCTGCCCCTTTAATGTGCCAGAGTTCCGCCAGTGTAGCGCGACTGCAACCCTGAACATCTAATTATAATAGTAATGTTCGGTTCTGTAATGTCCCTATTCGCTTCCGAAGAGCTTTGGAGTTATTACCCTAGCTGAAGGGGCATCTAAGGGCGTCATACATCTTTTATTGCTGTCAGTCCCTCTCAATCATTACCTCGAGTTCCAAAATTACGGAATCGGCGGGTTCCGAATGGCAGATAATGAAACGAAACCCGACACCCGTTTACCTCCTGTGTTACGCTACAGTGGTCTTGTGAGTCTAATTGCCTTTAATTATGCTCACTATAATGTGCTTATTTGGTGCCTGTATCAAATGCGACTTAATGTGCAAGCTTAACATTATTATTTTTTTGAATCATGTAATTAATATTCATGATTTGATATTCATCCGAATGTATCCCTCTTAGAGATGTAATTTTGGTGTTTACACTCCGTTTTTGTTTTTTTAAAGCAGCAGTGAAAAGAATGCTGCTTTC